CCCCCATCTCACCCCCTTGCCCTCCCCCACATTTTTGCTCGGCACTCGCATTCCACATTAATTCACACGATTTATTTTTTATTATCACTCACATGATTTTTAAATCGATTAATTTAACAATTCATTTTGACGATTTTTTTTATTGCACCAATCGGTGGAATTTATTTTTTTTTTATAGGGGATTAGGGATTTTTTAAGGAATAATTTAACAATTGATTTTTGGGGTTTATCCCGTCGGATGTTAATTATTGGGATGATTTTTTAAATGAATAATTTTGCGATTTATTTTGACCGGTTTTTAGATTGTAAAAATCATTGAAATAAATTTATAGATGCCGATTAATTAATTCTTGTTTTTTATTATCACTTGTTGATTGGATATTTCAACTGGCAATTATCGAAAATGTCAGGAGGAGACATGACGCCATGTTTTTTTTTTTTTGCAGATACAAAAGAAGAGGAGAATAATAGCCCGAGTGCAGTGTCGAAATATAAAAAACGAGTGCCCAAAACCGATGTGCGATGAGCCAGTATTATTACCCGGGAGATGTTGTAAATCATGCCCTGGAGATTACAGTGAGTAATACGAAATTAATTGAGTTGAATAAAAAAAAATAAAAAGCGACATTCCACTGAATTTCGTAAAATTCCCAAAAATTTTTGGCGAATTTCTAAAAATTCCAAAACGCGAAACGAAGTGGAAATTCTGAAGAATTACGAAAAAAGTAATGAATCATTTACAATTACCGAATGTCTCGTTACGTAACAGCTACTCAGATTTTTATATTGTAGATTTCCGAAATTAAATTGTCTCTGGAAAAAAAGTCGTGTCTATTCAAAATAAAAATGAGTGGAGGGAAAGAAATCGAGTCTGAGATCGTCAGTCTATTCTGTCTACAATTCGAAGAATTACCGCAGTGCAAGGTTAATCAATAGTTGACAGCTCGAGTTATTCGATTTAACGCGTTACATCATCAATATAATTCATATTATTTCACATTAAAATTCAATTAAATCTGTGTCCCATGCGTGAGGAATTCCCACCGACAAAATTCCACTCAGATTATCGATTTTTTTTTCACCTGCGATTTTCATTCCGCGATTTTCATTCCGCGATTTTCATTCCGCGATTTTAGAAACGATTTTGAAAATGCGATCGAGAAAAATCGCGATAAATTTATCATTACGAAGAAAAAAAAAATGAGGATTTATGGATTTGTTAAATATTTTTTAATTACACTCTTGTAAAACTGAATAATTCAAATAAATCATATTCATAATATAATTTAAATATCAGACCGCACATTTATTCCAATCTGTCGAGTACCCATGGCCTCTTTCCGATAGATATTGTAAATCTGTGATATCATTATTTATTATCCCATAAAAAAAAACATATAATTTGTCGAAGTATGTTAATGGAAGGATTTTTTATGACTTGTGTGCATGTAAAACTAGAAGTCGCATCAAAGGAATGAAGTGTGTGAGAGGAGAAAAAAAATCGCTAAGAATCGGTGAATGATTAAGAGATCCGTAGAATAATAAATATTTATTGAACAAAAAGGGAAAAAATCATTCAATAATAAGAGTCACGAAATGAAGTTAAAACCAGAAGAGCAATCGCGCGTGAGATTGATCGTGAGACACGACTTGTCACCGGGGGAATGCCAACGGGAGCGATCACCGATAAATGATTTATAACCGCAATTGGTTTCGCAATGTTAACATAAATAAAAAGTTAACAGGGGAGAAAACAGTGCGATTATCGTATTTCTCCGTTAGCATTTTGTTATTCTCCCCTTGGAACTTGAAATTGGCGCCGTTTTGTCGACGGGGATTCCCCATTTTAATCGGTGGTCCATTTCGCCATCTTGTATTCAAACAGAATTATTATTAATACGTGTATCTCATTTATCGTCATCGAAATTTCACGGTGGATTTGGAAAACTCTGAGAAATCGCATGCAACGAAGACACGCAACGGAAGTTGAGCAGTCGGGTGCTGCGCACCGAGGGGATACGATGCAGATTCATGCGCACATGCTTTTATCATAATAAGAAATCGTTGAAATGAGACTGATATCCCATTGGTCCATATAATCACCATTCGATTATATTCGAGGCGGGAAATTTGAATGCGACGCGCAGAGATTATCGAAATATTACAGAGAATATTTTCACCGCGACTCTTGGATTTTTGGGGAAAATGCGGAAGTAAAGGGGGGAATCCCACGTCTGGCGCCGACCATTGGTTGAATCGATAAAGAAGAAAATGAACGACGAAAAGTTGTGAAAAAACCTAACAAGCATTGGATAAAAAAATTGGAGGGAATAAAGAGGGCAAAGACTGTGTGCTCCGATTATGGTTGGATGGAAAACCAGTTTTCCATACTTGGCTTTGAATTTAACCGAATCGGGCGATCTGTCCAACGTAAAACGATCTCCCAACGCTCTCAATATAGTCGCAAACCTGTAAACTGTTTTTTTATTATTATTTAGGGTTTCAAAACTTTTTTTTTCCCCACGTACAATTTTATTTTTCCATTTAATTCCTGGATATCGACTTTGTATTGATTATTTGTTCTAAAATTAATTTGAAATGCTCACCGAGACAACGAAGAACTGAACGCATCAGGATAATCAGCAGAATCAACTCAAATCTGCAAAAATGCTCATCTTTTGTTGAATGATTAGACTTGAACAAAGCAATTGACAATAATTTTAACGGTCAATCCGAACAATTGGATGAGAACGAAGGATTCAACATGATTGCGTGTACGTGACACACAGCACGATCCGCGAGAAATAATGAATATCAATAAAAATAAAAGGATAAAAAAAAACATTACCCGACACTGTCAATAGTAATGAATAATTCATAGATTAAATGTTCAAGCGTAATTATTATAAAACAGCATAGCACTTATTTCGTTAGCATAATTATTGTAGTTTACGTTGCGGAGAGAAATTTACTTGATTGCTCCATTTAGTTTATAAAATGCCGTTGAGTATTATAAATTCCCTAATTTACCGTGGAATTTTTATGTCTATCAATTTAAATCGTAAATTATTGTAATTTATTACCATTTTTTTTTTCTCTTCAACCGCACATTAATGTTTACCATTTCTTGTGATTCGGATGCACTCGCTCGGTTGGATAAATGCCAATAAATCGATCGATATTCGCATTAAGAGCGAAATGTGCGCATCGGCGTCAAAAAACCCCAGGAATAGCAGTCGACGATGTGATTTCATACTGCAGTTATATTTCAACGTCAGATTAGACACGTGAGATCATCGTAAACTCGTCTTGATATTATGAACAGTAGGTTATCTCCGGAATGGGTAAACAAGTGGGGGATATTATCTCATGGGGAGATAGCCAGGGAAATTTACGTTTTCAAATTCCACTTGGCCACCGATTTTGCCCCGTCTCTTAATTGGACATGAGCGAATCAGATTTTGGCACCAGAAATCACTCCCCCCTCAATCCCCTCCTCCCAAGCACGATTCATCAAAAAAAAAAAAAAAAACCCCTGAGAAATCCCTAAAAACGGATTTTTATCCTAGAGATCTAGGGATTTTTTTTTTCGCTGCCCTAGCGGAATTAGTGAGAGTCATTTTTACTGGGAAAATTTAAAAGAGGGAAAATAAAATTTTTAGGTATGAATGAAAAATTCCTTCATTTTCCTCGAGAGACCGAATATGAAAATGTTTTGTAAAAAATTAATGATTCGAGAAGAAAAATAAGAGAAATAAGAAGAAGAACTGAACGTCCTCCAGGAAATCACAAGAGCCCCCTCCATCGGCTATAATTGTCGCCCCGTTGTCCGGCAAATGAGCCGTGCGTCGTGATAATAAATAAAAAAATAATCAGAAATCGAATAATATGAGAAGAATGCAAAATGGTAGGGAAGTCGGGCGCGACGGTTTAGCGCCATGGCGCCGGTTATATTACCGCATGGCGTCACTTCGATTGAACCGTGCGCAATCTAAATGTAAATATTAGCATGCATAATGATTGGATACCAGGGGGAAGGGGTGGTAAATAGTGGGAGAATTAAAAGCGATGCGGAGAATAGAATTGATCGAGCCAACATGCAACCAAAATAATAACAAATTAAATAATCCATAAAATTTACCAATTAAAAATTCTAATTACACCGCATCAGCCTGATTACAGTCCCACCGTGTAATTACTCCATCATTCAATTAGGAAATTCATCAAGAATAGAAAAAATTGTCATGACCATTTCTTTTTATCCAGCTGTCTATTGCCTTCATGAGCTTTCGCATAAGTCCATTTTTTTTCATTTCCATCGAAACCGGGGATACGGGTTTTCTCTTTTTTTAGGGCGGCTATGGGAGGGGGTGAACTCTATCTACTCACGTGCCAATGATAATGATCGATAAGACTCTGGCGCAATTCCAATGAGCAAATTCCGAGACTTCTCTTTGCACTTTAATTCTTCAACTTACTGCTGGATTTCAAATAATTCAGTGTGTGTGAATATTTTTTTTCATTGGACGTGATGTGTGTGGGGAAGCTGTTAATTAAAACATCAGTGAAGATCATGAATTTTTATTATTTATTTTTCAGGCGCGGAGATTGTTCATGATTTGCCCATTCAGCAGACTTTGGAGGAGGAGGAGAGAAGTTTGAAACGTGAGTTTATGGAGAATATTATTTTGATTAACAGGTGATATCGATTCCGTCGAAAAGCTGGAAAAATTTTTATTGAAAACCGCTAGTCTTTCAAACGTGAGACCTCTCATTTCTTGAATAGTTCACGCATGCGCCCTCTGCCCGCACACTAACCTTGGGATTCCCCCTTGTCCGCAAAAAATGGGAAACCCCATTGAGAATGTGCACTGACACCTGCGCGAGCAAGTGTCCGCGATTTTCTATGACAAATAGGAGGTACATACCTTCGAGGTCATTGATGCAATCCAGAAAGTCCCCAGGTGATGCACCTCCTGGCTTCCATCCTCACTATTTCTCGTTCCTCCAGATTTCGCCACCCTGATAAGCAGCAGAACCTCGCGTCATCTCCACGACGAAGCGTCCGAGACAAATCCTTCAATCGCTTCGTACGTGGCAGCCGGACGCTTCACCTTCCACCGCAAGAACCTGTACTACTCGTTCACCCTGGGCGCATCGACACCCCGCCCCAGGAGTCTCCAGTTCATCGACGATGAGGGATCGATCCTGGAGGAGCAAATAATTGATCCAATCGGTGGAGCTTATCAGAACGCCACCGGTAAGCTGTGCGGAGTGTGGAGAAGAGTCCCGAGGGATTACCGGAAGATTCTCCGAGAGGAGCAGCTCTTCGTCTCCCTCATCTGGGAGACAACGACAACGACTATGATGACCACGACTGTCACATCGACGATGTCCACGTCATCGCTTACCGGACAGCTGGCCAGATACAAGGCCCTGTCCACTGAACAATTCTCATCACTTCTGGAGCCGACTATGGGTGTTGACAGGACGATGATGACAGGATCATCAGCCACAGCCATTATTTCCGTCAGCTCGACGTCAGCGCCCTCAATCCACGTCTCCCTCGCCTTCAACGGAGTTTTCTTCCCAGAAGACATCGTCGATGTTCCCCTGATCGTGATCATTGAGCACGTTGAAAAGGACTACGTCCTCCTGACGGAGGAGATCACCATCAAGAAGCCATCGAATGACATCAACTTCGGAGAAGTCCGTTCGGCCCTCTCAGGTGCAGACCTGCGTCTGCTGTCCCGTGGCAAATTGTACATCACCATTGCCTCGAGGAAGGATTCTCAGGCGTTGAGACTGGCAGGGCCCATTGGTCCGCGCACCAGCTGCGACGTCTTCCAAGCGCTTCTCGCGCCTGAATCGGGGACTGAGGGCTCGGGCCTGGCCTGGGCCTTTCTGGATCGCTTTGGTGCTCTCCGATATGGCATGAAACTCGCTGGAATTGACGATAAGAATCCCATGGTGACTCTCGTGGATGACGGTGTCAAGAGGAAAACCGAACTTGAGGATCTCACGGCATCTTTGATTGCGGGGACCAATGGAAATGGAACATTGGAGCGACCGGGCCCTAGATTACTGGAGCCACTGTTCAAAGGTGAATTGGGAGTGGTGGTTAATTCTCCTTTAGGATCGACTCTGAGGGGAAGACTTATGCAGCGTCCCGTGGCAGAGGCCAAGGACACATCGACGCCATTTCTGTTGAGGCCCGCCGGAAGTAATGGTAATGTGGGTCTTATCTGGCTGGCAATTGATGCAGACTGTGTACTTCATTATGAGCTAGAGGTTGGAGGGCTTCCAGAGGAGGTCAACGATGACGACGATGACGATGAGGAGGAGGCGAGTCTCAGGTTGTACCTGGAGACGATGCCCCTGCTGGCTCAGGGTGCCCCCGTCTCCCGGAGGCTTCTCGAGGAGTTCAATGGAAATGTTCTCGAGGGATCAGTCACTGGACTCTCACCCATTGAACTTTACAGAATTGACTCGGGGATAGGCTTCCTGGAGGTGATGGCTGTCAACAAAAATGTCAGCACCAAAATGCTAAAGGGCCAGTTCAAGACTCGGGCCCCGCTCAGCTGTCTCCCCCATTACGCAGATAATGATGTCGCTAGTGTAATGGTTTATAGCTTGCATCCTTCGAGTGCGGAGATCGAGACAGCCAGTTGCTTCCACGAGACGAGATTTTACGAGGAGGGTATACAGTGGACGGCCAAGAGCGATCCCTGCTTGATGTGTCATTGCCACAGGGGTGTTGCCAAGTGTGATACAGTGCCATGTCCACCTATCAATTGTCCGGCTTACAGGAGAGCCAGGGCACCACCTGGTCATTGCTGCTCCGTTTGTCTAGGTGACTATCATCGAATAATCTTGAAAATCCGTCAAACTGTCAATCCTCGACGTAATTATCATTTTAATCGTTCTTTTTGAAGGACTACCTCCTGATAACTTCACAACAGAGAATCCTCCGCGGACGACCCCCGGGTCTAAAACCACGGAGGATACCAACAGTGTTGGTGCCTTCAAGGGTTGTACACTAGCTGGACAATTTCATGTTGCTGGAGCGTCATGGCATCCTTATCTACCTCCTGCAGGCTTCGACACTTGCGCCATATGCACTTGTGACGTAAGTACTGTCACAATCATTGAGTTCACGATTTTATTCCATATGTCGATGTTGTTCTATCATTGATTTTCACAGCCTGTGAGCCTTGAAGTTCGTTGCCCCAGGGTGCAGTGTCCCACCCTCGACTGCGACGAAAAAATAGCTGTTCGACCGGACAAGAAGGCATGCTGCAGGCAGTGCCCCCTGGTCAGTGTCATCCCCATTGGTGGCACCAATCCACCAGCGACAAATCCGGGAGGTGATGGATGTCTACCCAAGGATCAAGCTGACTCTCTCCACATGTACGCAGCAAAGCGCACACCTGAGGAGATATTAGCTGATGGAGGGTGCAAATATCCCATGGGGGGTCCGTACGAAAATGGAAAGGAGTGGCATCCCAAAATTCACTCTCATGGAGAAATCAAATGCGTCAAGTGTCGGTGCAAGGTAATTTACCAAAAATACGTGTGGTTATTCTAGATTTAAAAATAAATAATTAATCACAGTCAAAATTTCTCATCGCCTGAAAAAACCCTTTCTGTCGCTCATATGAACGATATTTTTCGGGTATTCCCCAACCAAAAATTGGAATAATCAGAAGTCAAACCATTGGACAATATTTTTCAACCAATTCTTGTAGACGACAATCGATTTTTTAATTATTCTGTAACAGGTTTAAATACTCCATGAATTATTTTCACCAGTCGTGACCCATAAAATGGAACCGACGCGCATGAGATTATTCGGGGATTCCCCCAATCATATAATGACCACAGCGAGAGACAAGACGTTGACACAACAAACTTAGCGACAGGAAAAAGCAATGAGGCGATCGGAAGTCTTAAAATTGACAATTTTTTTTCGCAGAACGGCGAAGTGAGATGCGACCGGAAACGATGTCCCAGGTCCCTCTGCAATTCAATAGCCAACCAATTGAAACGCGGCGAACGTATTCCGGATGCTGACGACTGCTGTACCACCCAGTGCAGACGCGCACGCAGACATCATCGCAATCATCGCAATAATCATCATCATCATCAACAGACACGTCATCATGCATCATCCAAGAACCCTAAGCACTCGGTCACACCACGTGATCTCAGTTGAGCTTGTTGACAGGTTCAAAATGATGTTTTTTTTTTTCCTTTTTTTTTCTTTTGCGTTTCTTTTTGTTTTTGCGGAGAAAATAATTCCAAGGCTGTCTGTGTCATTTTCCTTAATGGAAATGGATTTGAAAAAGGTACATGTTATGGCCTTCCTGTTTTGGTAGGAAGGAAATGCGGATAAAAATCAATTTTTATAAACCTTAATTGGACTGAATTGATGCTATTCAGCTGTTTAAGGGAATGATGATAGATTGTTGCGCGTGGTAATATTTATGGTGAATTTTATTTTATTTTTTTTTTTCAATTCTGGTGTTTAAGTGGAATGCGGAATGTTGGGGGCGGGGGAGGGGGGATATCCGGCATTAAACACTGATTTTAAAATCAATTTGATCCGATTGGCTGTTGAATTGTGGCTGATGATTTTCCGATGATTTTTTCTTTTTTGACCGTCAATTATAATTTTTTCAATTAATGAAAAATTGAAGGAAAAATCAGCACATGACATCAGAAATTTTTCTGATTTTTTAATTGATTTCTCATCTTTTCATCTCTTCGGGCTCGAGATTTATGGGAAATCGGTGATTTTATTTTTTGGCGGGAATTTGAGATTTTGTAAATTTTTGAGGTTATGGAGAGATGGCGGGATGATTCATCAGTGAAACATCTGGAAAGTCATCGCGAATGTGATTTTTTCCCCGTTCCAATTAAGCATCGAGTTGCCTTCATCTTCCATTCGGTTAACCGAGACTGCATATTTTTTTTTTTGTTAATTTTCATCAATTGGATTCTATTGAAGGGTCTGTCTATATTAACTCAAGTGTAGAAAATTGAAGGGAAGTCGTGGGACATCGGGAAGGGAAAGGGTTGTGATGATCAATCGATGATGATTATTTTTTCGATCAATCAAATTTTTTTTAACTTTGAAAAATCAACGAATTGAGAGGCGTCATTGATAAAATTCATCATCAACAATTGAACTATCAGAATTCACGATTGATTTAATGATTTATCAATCATTGATGATTACTGATTTTTAGAATGATTTTCTCGTGGAAAATGACAAGATGACCAATAGGGGAAATTTGGGATGAGTTTCAAAAAAATGACTGATCAAAAATTTGATCTGATGATTCAATTGATGATCACATCCAGACGAGTTACCCAGCAACCAAAGAAGACTGAAGAACCTCGATGGGCGTCATCGGTTTATCGTTTTATTCGATTTATTATTATTATTTTTGCTTATCTTTTACTAATTTACTTATTTTATTAATTATTACTGATAAAATATTAATCATTAATTATCTCGTTGTCATCATTAATTATCATCTATCATCTTTCAATCTTTCATACTCATTCTAGCTTCTCATATTCTCATTGTCATTTATGATATATCAATTATTGCGCGCTTGGAATTGACAGTGGGGACTAATTATTTAAAGGGTTATTCACTTTTAGATTAATTTTTCGATTTTAAATCTCGAAAACTGCGATAAAAATCGATCGTCAAAAGATATTAAAATGATTTAATACGGAATTATTGTGAGAATTATATTATTCATTGAATCCGTATCAATCGAGACGGATTCCTCAAATTTTGTTTTTTTTTTTATTTCGACGATGGAATTTTAATGATTTTTTTGAAGATTTTGTGAGCGCAAAAAAATGATCGGTCGTGTGTGAGAATGACCGCTCAAGTGAAAGAGTAAAAACCACCGGAGATTTCAATCTTTCCATGTCTTACGAAACAGTCAATTATCTCGACAATGAGAGCCTGACATTTTCCTCTAGGATCACTCGTTATTGAGATGGATGGACTTTTACGAAAGAATGTCGACAAACGTCCGCCGCTGATCAAATCCAGCAACAATTAAATATTCATCAGTCAAAGTACCAGTTTAGCGAGTAAATGGCGAGAGTAAATTGAGTGGTAACAGGTAATAACAGGGATTTTTACTTGATTACACCTCGAAAAGGTCCCGGATCTCTGAAATTATCATCTTCATTGGAAAATCCATTGCTTATCAGACAAGCTTTTGTCGCACGTCACTAACTACTTTCCACATAATTTCAATCAAAAATCACTCGAGCAGTCCATCCCATCCCCTTGCGCTCTTTTCCCTCGGGCAATTATAATCCTACGAAAAAAAAAAAATCGAAAGTGCCTTGACTCAGAAAAGTGAGAATTCCCAAAATTATCCGCCGAAAGTGGAGAATTATCTGACGGGGTCATCTCCCCTGGGCTTATATAATTTGTACTAAAATTATTCAATAACTTTTTCTTCTTGAAAATCAATAAAAAATGCAGGCCTCGTAATTTGTCCGTGACGATGCATTTGAGTATTAAATTAATTAAAACGAATTCTAAGGCATAAATTAATGGAGAAAGTTCAACTTTTGCTGGATGAAATTTGAACAAATTAGAAATGTAATGACAAGTTAACAAATCGATCGGTTAATTTAATGTTCAACGTTGAACGAGAAAGCAGAAAAAATTGTATAAATCCAAAATTGTAAAAAAACTTTTTTATTAAAATTCCAAAAAAGCTGATTAAAAAAAAAGCTGATTAAAAAAAAAAGCTGACATATTTACGAGACCCGAAATTATAAAAAAATGTAATAATGTAATTAAGGGCTATTGTACCATTGTCACAATTAATCTGATGGTAAAATAGATTTTTACGTAATATTACTATTTTTGTCCTTCACTCATTATTTTTTCGTTTACACTATATTTTTTTCTGAATGTTGAGACAGTTTGCAGATATACGTTAAAGGGAGTGGAAAAATAGCTGTGGATTTATTATGAGGAAAGTGTACGCCGATTTCAGTATTTTTCATTGAATAAAAAATTTTGAAAATGTTTAGCACTCGTGTGGTTTTATATTAATTAATTCAAAAATTTTTCAGCTCATTACCACTCCTTATTCTAGCGGTTATTTATATAATTTTTTTTTAAAGTTTACTGTGAGATTTCGCGAAGGTGAGGGCATCTTCCAGGGCCTTAAGGACCACCGCAACTTTTTTTGGTGTTGCATTCACTCCCATTACGCCGATTCTATTGATTTTCCCAGCTGTTGGGCCCAAACCGCCAGAAATTTCGACGTTAAACCTGAAAAGCAGAGGAAAATCCAAACCGTAAGTCCCAGAATCCGCATATCGACGTGGGGTGGAAAAGACTATTAAAAATTGTTAACAAAGTATAAATAAACGACAAGAAGATTTTTATCCGGAGAGTTACCTCTCGAGGCACCTCCTGGTGACGATCCCCGGGTCGACTCCGTCGGGCAGGTGAAATGCCGTGACAGTCGTCAATCGGTGATCAGGATTTTTCACTAAGAATTTCAGGCCCATCCTCGTGAGTCCCTCTTTGAGAATATCCGCAGATTCTTTGTGTCTTCTCCAGCTGTTCTCCAGGCCCTCTTCAACCAATTGGGCCAGTCCTTCTCGCAGTCCATAAATTAATGTCGCACTGATTGTGTGATGATAAATTCGGGGCTCGTCGAAGCAGTTCCAATAAGTTCCCAAGAGTTTCATATCCCAATAGTAAACGGGAATCTGGAATTTACGGGACAGAATTTTTTTCCTGTCCCAAAATTGAAATGAAATTAATATACAAATCTCGAGACTATCACTACTGATAGGATCAACCAGGGAGTTTCATTTTTCAAATGAACCATCTATCTTTACCACATTTTTTAAATAAAATATGCAACACACTTAACAATCAGTAAATTATAAGCACATTATGCAACGAGTGTGGAAAGTTCAATTTTAACGTTTGCAGAGTTACAAAAAAAAATAAAAATAAAAATAAAATAAAAATGGGACAGCGATGTGACGATTATATTAAAAATAAAATTTCCAAACAAATCGCAGATAAAATGAGCTTAACAATTTAATTTGAAGAACAATTTTCCGTTATCATTTCCAAGCGGTCGAGGCATTACTCCTGAATAATAATGAATCATTATCGTACTCTGCCCTCGGTCCAAAGGACACTGGAGTGATCCCCGGTGGTGCACCAAGTGTCTTCTGACTCCCCGTGTAAACAGCATCGACACACCAGGCGTCCATGAAGAAAGGCTCCCCTCCGAGGGATGCAACCGTGTCAACAATCAAGAGTGCGTCATACCTAGACATTCGACGGAGAAATGTCAATAAAAATAAAAAGAGTGTACCAGTAACTTGTCAATGTACACATCATCGATCACCGAGAGACTTGATTTTTCCAGAATTAAAATTATTTACTTGCGCACTAAATCCCCAACACCAATCAGCGGCTGTTTGAGGCCAGTGCTGGATTCTGCATGAGTGCAGAAAACCACTGACGGCCTGAATTTCGTCAGGGCGACCCTGAGCTCATCCAAGGTGAATGCAACTCCAAGTTCTGTTGTCAATAGTTCCACCTGTCAATTGCATCGATGCAGTGCAATTAAAAATATTAAATAATAATTATTGGTGTTGCTATTATTTTTTTTATAAGGGTGATATTAATGAAAAAAAATTCAGATGAAAAATTGATTTTTTAATGAATTTTTTGGAATAATAATAATTTTTTTTTATGGAATAATGGACTGACGTGGGCGCCAACTCTTCTGGACATGTCAGATGCTCTTTCACCCCAGATTCCTCCGTTGACGATCAGAACAGTCTCTCCAGGTTCTAGTAAATTACCCAGACACGCCTCCATACCCCCGTGCCCCGCTGCGCTTATCGCCAAGGTCAGTCTACTATCAGTTTGGAACATGTACTTGATGCCCAGTTTGATATCGTCCATCATCTAACAACAATAAACAATGGTAACTGTGATAACGGTAAAAATTCTCAGTAATAATTTCACTCTAATTAATTCCATGAATAAAATAATAACGAAAAACTCAAAATTATCGATTATTATTTTTTTTAATTAATTAAAAATTATTAAAACGTATTGATATGAAATATTGAGGATAAATTGCGGTAAAATTCTCGATTCGACCGTCGATTACGGAAATCACGGAATTTTTTAATTGGAGAAGAAAAATTACGAAGTCATGAAAAAAATTTGGAATATCTGCGGGAGTCACTGCTTTTTATTCTTGTTAACGATTTTTTAATAATAAACAAAAAAACCTTTAATATTTCCGGGTGCAAATGTCCGATGACTGGATTTTTGAGAGATTCGAGAACTCTTGGGGAGCAGTTGCTGGGGCCGGGGCTGAAGAGCAATCGATCCTGGGGTACGACAAGGGGTTGAAGAAGCTCCACAGGTGGGGGTTTCACTCCCCCAAATTTTTTAATTAATCCCGAGTAATCCGACATTTCAATTTTCCATGGGACGATCGTTTCACTCGGACAGACTCAATGACACTGAATTAGGATGGGGACGTCTTCTGTCCTGATAAGAAGAAAAACACTGATAACCCCCGACATGCCTCCACTTCATGGAATTTTCTTATTATCATTCCGGTGGAGATAATAACAAATCTTCTAAAATTGTTTACGAAGAATAATTAACATTTTCGTACCCTCCGGGAGAAATAATGACTAGCCAAATAAATTGACTATTGATTAATTATTAATTATTCATTTAAATTCATCAATGGATTGATTAAAAATACGAGAGTAGTAACGAGTGCTTGAGGTGAAATTTCTTCTGGGTAATCTGGGAATTTCGATTTTTTAAATATTTGTTTTGGATTTTTTTTTTTTGAACTCGAGGAGTTGCCGTGGGCCCTCGAAATTCCTCGAGGATCATTCGCCCCTGGGGGCGCAACAAGTGGCAGGACTTCAACAGGTGGTGATTTCAATGCCCCGAGGATTACGATATTTGTTTAGGCCAACACCTCAGGGTAATAAAAAAATCACTGGAGGGTAGATAGCCCGATCACTTGTCACAAAAAAAAAAAAATGATAATATCCCTTTCCATACCCACAATTAAAAAAAATAAACATAAAATAAATTTTTAATTAAACAAATTAAATAAATAAAACGAAAAAAATTGGATTCACTGAGCTCACGGGATTATTCAAATTTTCGGGAATTGCCGCGCGAGAAATGTCGAGATTTTGAAAAATTATCGATTGATAAATTTTTGATTGTCCATCAGCTGTCTCCATCTGGTGGCGCTACCTTTTACTTCTCATCTTGAAAAACATTGGGAAACCAAAAGAGCAGTTCCCCCCACTCCAAATTAAACCAACAAATCTCTCATCTCTCTTTCTCTTTTCTCCACTGGGATGTGGCATCAGTAAGATGTCGAAGAAATCCGTAGAGCGTCTCTCACGAGCCGAAAAACTCTCAGTTCCCTCACAACCGCCACTTGCGCCCCGGTTTGTCTCTGAGAAAAGGCTCAAAAGGAATTCACCTCTTCATGGGCAAATAAATTTTACTGTCGCCGGGGATACGGCGTCCTGTGATATACATTTAAATGTGGAATTATCGGAGGACAAAGGGAGAATTGTCTCAGTCACTTCGTCGGTGGATTAATTCTATTTTTTCGCGTCAAAGTGTCAGAGTTTGAGTTTATGTCGGTCATGCTGTGATTTTGGGGCCTGTTGGGGCCCAGGGCCGAATTTTTCGATCTTCTGCCGGTGGTGCAGTGTCCAGTGGTGATTTTTTTTTTTAATCCAACAAAAATTCCGATTTCAAATCGAAAAACTTGCGGTTATTCTTCCCCCGATTTTTCCTCATTTTTCATTTCACTCCGAATGAATTTCCCGAATTTCCTCGAGGTGTTTGCAATTATTCTGATTTTACGATGATTATCTGGTAAATTGACATAAAATTTTCGGGGATATTTGAATAAATCGATGTTTAAATTCCATTTTGAATCGAGAGAAACGACAGAATTATTTCGTGTAATTTAATCTTGAAATTGTTTCGTCTACGAGAGTTAAATTCCCTCTAATTTCGCTTTTCTTGTTTTGACCAGTTGAAATTAATTCGAGCAGTTGACCGGCATCACGAGTAATATGCGTGATGCATATTTATTATTCCCAAGTCCAACAATGAGTGTGTGTTGAGTGCCATAAAGACCCCCCAAAACAAATTCGTTACGAGGTCTTTCACAATAACAAAAGGAGAGAAAAAAAAGCATCAGAGGGGTCAGTAGTAAATTCATCTCGAATTGAACAATCAATTCCTCGAGTTTATCTGGGGAATTCCAAGATCGAGAGGGCAAAAATGGACGCCCGAGGATGCACAACTGGTGAGTGATCCATCTAGATCGTTAAAATCATCTCATGAATTTTTTTTAACCATTTTTTTAAAACTCATCTCTATCTCGATATTTCCGACCCTTTTTTTTTTTTCGTTCATTTGGGGTCACGAACTCTCGTGTCCTTCGAGACTTTCCCCTCTCTTTTGGCCTCTCTGTTTCAATGAGTATATTGTACTCGTGCTAGAGTGCCTGATTTATTTGTAAATAGTTCTGCGAATGTTTGATAAACGTGAGATTGTAACGATCGTGAGAACGATTTGATGAGAATTTTATTTGACGACTTTTTTTTGGTGAAAGGTCATGCTGTTTTTACTTCTAGGGGATTCATAGAACATTCTTGGAGATTTCTTGATGAATTTTTCCTCTTTTGTTCGAGTTATGGTAATTTAAATGTTAGAATGTCTTTCGGCTGTCGCTCAGCTGTTCTAATTTTTTTCAACGCTTTCTAGGGAATTAGTGGGGATAATTACAGTTTTTATGGAGTTTTTCGGAGGTCTTTATGTAGCCTACCATTTTTTTTTGTATCAATTTCTCTTTCGTAGGATTACTACTCACTGTATTGAATCGATTGAACTCGAGTTTTCGGGGAATATCTCGGGATCTGAAGGAGATAGTGGAATTTTTCATAAGAGCTCTTTTGCAGAATGAACCCAGAAGTGAAAAAGAGGTATCAACAAAAATTTCGGTATCTCCCTTCAATTCCGAGATATCCCACAATGAGTAAAAATGAAAATCAATAACTCCGTAATAACTGAGAATTGTAAAACGAATAACATCCCCAGATATCTCTCCACCGATGACCGGACGATGAGAAATGGCAACCCCAGTGTCGCCATCCTGTCCAGGCACATGCCTGGGTCAGATACCCCAGTCATCGCGCTGTGCAAATCTCGAATTTCCACCACCACCACCATATCCACCTCCAACGGCTGAACAATCCACATCCCAACATCAACGACTCATTCAGGATTACTCCTACGCATGTTACGAGCCAGGTCCAAGCTCAATTTATCCCCGTGGTGGCTACCAAGAGGGTGGACAGCGAATGTGGAATTGTCACATACAGTGTGGAACACCTGTGCGAGATCCAACTAAAAGACACACCTATGTTACACGATATGGAACTGAGGAGAACATCTACGAGGAGATATCCGAGATCAGGTAGGCAACTTTTTTTTTTCCCCCCCATTCTTTCACCGTTTATCCCCACCTGTTGCCCTTTTTTGGGCATCGGGCCCTTTGTCCTCACCCCGGGGCTCATTCTCTGCCTCCAGGGGGGCCTTTAAGTGCTGGAAAATAGAAATTTATCGGTGGGTATCGCCTTTTCAGGTGCTTTCAGGAGTTCAAATTTATTGCTTATTTATTTATTCTAATTAAATTCAATTAAATCGGAATTCATTGCTTTTTCATTTGTTTATATAAACATAATAATAATCATAATACCTCATTATTATTATTATTATTGCATTGAAAAATGGTTTTATCAAGTGCCAAAATAGAAATTGAGTTCATCTCGAATAAATTTTCAAATTTGATAAAAATTATAAAAAAAAATCCACGAGACCGTTATGAATAATCGATCTGATTGTTTATTGTTCCAGTAGACAATGTCGCCTGGGTATCTCGGGCTCCGGACGATCTCTAGTTGATGAGGAAGTTCGAAGAGTTCAATTAGGTCATCGTCGTGTCCTCGGGGAATTAAATCTGAGTGTCGAGGCGATGTTGATGCCCTCGATGATCGACGAGATCGATGAAAATTCCGAGATGATGCGACACGATGACGAGGAAAAGCGAAAAATACTCCACAGTATTTTAGCAGAGGAGTCTATGTCACCAGTTGGATGTGATCTCGACAGTGGATTCAGTGGCAGCTCAAGTGCCAGTTACAGGTAATGCCATTTTTTTTTTTTTTCATGTCCTGGGATGTGATTTATGCACTAGTGAATTCCACTTTCACTGTCATAGGCACTTGGCACGGCTAATGCATCGGTAGAAAGGCGATACGTTCACTTTCTTTGATTTGGAAAATGGATATAGGGAAATGAGATCGTGTTTCATTGTTTTTCATGTCAGGAATTTAGGAATTTCTTGGGGAATAATTTCTAATTGGAGTTGATTAAATGAAAATCGATAATTATGGGCAGAGGAAAATATAAAAATGAATAAATTGATTGAACAGAGATTAACTCCAGACCTTTTCTGTTTATAATAATTACAATTTGAGATCTATTTATTCAATCTTTATTCTTTGTTTTATCCCAAGATCTGGACTGGGATCTCTCCGTCGTGACCTTGGCAAAAATTCTCTGGCCTCAACATCTTGCACGAAACTCATCGGCAGTACGACTCGACGAAACAAAGCAACAATGATTTGGAAGAAGGGATTGAAGAGCTGGAAGAAGCTGCATGCCTTCACTAACTCCTCGAAAGTCTGTGGTGAGTCGATTTTTTTTCGTATTATTTTTTTTCCGAGAAATTCAATCTTTAAAAATCGATGAGAATTTTTTTCATGGGTGTAAATGATCCATTACTACCTGGGGGGCCCACGGTGGGTGGGGGGGCGGTAAAGAGGGGAGGGTAGTAACCGTAAATTCCAGGGAAATTGTTGAGAGAGGGGAATCACTTCGTGACGTAAGCACTGAATGCATACAGTTAATTATTGGTACTTGCCAGAGGTCACGAGACACTACGGCCATCTCTTTAATGTTACAACAGCATCTGCTGTGCCACGTGTTCATGTTGTAATAGAATTTCACTGAATTCATTTGGATTTTCCATGGACTAATTTCCATTTTCCACGATTTTTCAACCAATCAGACCCAAAAAATGTATTTCAAGGGTGAATTTCCAGAAGAGCAATCTCTTAGTAAAAGGAAATTTATTTCCACATTCCACTTTCGAGACGAATATTGGCAATAATTCGTTTAGATCGGTAATATTATTTTGTCCATCAAAAAAATTTATTAAAATTCTGGAAAATTCCAACAAATAATTAACCTAGAGATTTTCCACGCTGAATGAAACGATCATTAAAATTTATCGGCAATTTTCTCGACTGCTGACAATATCCTGAGCATGATGAGTCTGTTTTCCTCGTCCCTCTGCTTGGTGTATTCGATGAATTCCTCGAATTTATGGACAAGCTGCGCCTCAGTGGATTGAGGAGTCCCAGAGTCCTGTGGATTTCTCTCAATATGATGTCTCTTATTCTTCTTATTTACTTCCGTTTCTACCGACTGTTTCGGCCTCTTTGCCTGATTCACAGCCGTTCGGATCATCTGCAGCTGCTGCTGGCTAACACGTGATTGGTTTTCCGTCCTTCTCAGCTTTGTCACGTCCTTGACAGATATCGAGGGGGTGCACTCACTCTTGGATGATCTAAAACAATTCATTAATTGAACATGAAAAGTCATAAAATATCGGTAATAACGGCTTGAAAAAATGACGACAATGGTAAATACACCTTGAACGTGAAAATTCCTCGACTTGAATTGGTGTGTCGTCCAGGTGATTGTATTTCTCCTCAACTGGTGAAACAGGGGGTGATATCTGCTCGTCCGAGGGTGTTACTGAGACACATAGAAATTCGTGGGGATCAACCTCTTCCTCTATTTCATTATCCTCTGCGTAATTATCGGGAACTGCTCGAACACTTCTCTGGCCGTGTACAACTTCCTCGATGGCATTGAAAAATGGCCAGGAGACGTCGTCCGCACGGTTTTTATCACCCTGGACTGGATTTTTAAATTCCTAAAATCCAAAAAAATCTTCTCAAATCTCATCGCAAATAAAATTCACTCAGTCGTCAATAAAAAATGACTAAATGTGCTTTTAATGTCGAATCAGTGAATTTTCAAAAAACGAGAGACAATTCCGAGGCCTTGAAATCAGTTATATCCCCAGGTATTCGTTGGGGTCCCTAGGGGGCCAATGGCATTCCGAGAAAATTGAAAAACGTGAAATTCTTACCTTGTACTGCTGTAACAAGTTGGACCACTTTTTTTTCAACACTCGGTATTGAACGTCAGCCATTATCGTTGGAAACTCGCGTCTCATCAGCTTGAGGATGTGCCTAAATTCGGAATAAAAAACATTCCAATGACACACGTCAGTGCATACAAGTCATCAAAAAACGATAAAATCGAATTGAAAAATGAATAAATCATTGAGCAATTGTTTACGCACTCCCATCCGCCTTGAGCCGAGTATTTTCTGCCAGTGAATAATTTTCCATTTTCTCTCCTGAGTTGTATGAATCTTGAAGTTAAATTTTCCGTCCCTGATCGATTGAGAGAAATTCATTAGTATTGAGGGCCTTGGGACCTTCTCGGTGGTTTATTTAATCTGATTTTTTTTTTTGTTTTTACTCACATCTGAATTTGGCGTGGTGATACATCTGCGTCATGTTATTGTCACGATAATCATCGTGCTTAAATGCGTACTGAAATTTAGACCTCGTTTGAGACCACGAGGGGGTGGTGGGAGGAGATGTCTTGCTCTCATCTACTATTTTGTGATAGAAATGAATTCTACGCAGACTCATTCTCTGGTTTATGGGGCTTGGGCTTGGGCTTGCCTTGTGGTTCTGAGGAAATTCATTAGGTTGCCATCTACTGGGAAAAATCACAAGGTCATGACAGGAATTCTCACCCTGACGGATGTTAATCTACTTGACAAACCGAATGTTCAGGAATTTCTGGATAATATGAAATAATCTAAACATTCGTTTTATCTATTTATTTTACTTGTTATTCCATTTATTTTGTGGTGAAAATTTGGAATCAGTACTTTGATCTGTGATTTTTTTAAAACCGTTTGAGAAAACGCCAGGTGTCTCAAAATTTTCAAGAATTTCTGATCTTCAGAATTTGAATTACAAAATTGCGCGCAGAATTCAAAAACAAAAGCTCTGACTGGTGGCGCCCTCTCCCGCCACTCTCCCTTCCCCTCTCACCGCCCTCCCCCGCACACAAATAAAAACGAATTTCCCTCCCCCCCACTATTTTCGTTTCCGCTCCGACAGTTGAAACTCCCTCAGTGCGCGAAACGCAAGAACTCCAGTAACAACCGCCATAATGCAGTATAAATCATTGACAAATCACCCAAAAAGTCCCCAACAGTTGACTAAAAACACCCCCCCAGCACCACCCCCCAACATCTCCAAACCATCACCAAAAAAATGAGGGAAAAACTCAAATAACGAATCAAAAAATCCGCGTTCTCTCCACCAACGGACACAATCGCGACTAGTGGGTGTTTTGTGTGTGTGTGTTTTTTTTTTTGTTGTTTTCTGCGAGAAAAAATGGTGATTTTTGTGTGCCCCTAAAAAATCCCCCAAATTTTTTTGCATTCGGTGTCGAGCAATAATTACAGAGTGATAAACTGTTTTTGATTTCTCTGTTTTTATCCCCTTTGTTTGGGATTTTTGGTACATTTTTTTGAAATTCGATTTTGTGCACATGTGCAGCCTCCTCGAGGACCAATGAGGGGGCTGATCTGTTTGGCCCCCTATTTTTGAGTGAATTTTGGATTTAAAAAATGGAGGAGATGCAGAACGGAGTTGTTTTGATAAAATGTGAGTCAATGGTTTATCAATTTTTAATTGATCGATGGGAATTACTGGAATGGGCTTGTGCCAGTGGAAAGCTGGTGAAATTGCGATGAAAATGGCACTGGGTAAACCGCTTTTCCACGAGCAATTTCCGAGAAAATTGCCAATGAGTGAAATCACCAGTCACTCGATTTTCCCCAAATGCTGGAATTCAAAAAATCATTGCAATTTTTTCCCCCCAAAATTCCCCAACACGTCATGCCAAAATTTTCCAAGGTGATCCACCACTCAATGCCTAATTTAACAACAAATTATTCCCCACGTAAAATTTTTATTTTCAACCCCAGGAAAATAAAATTCTGTCGAACAAAAAATGAGACGAATTAAAAAAATTCAAATTTCCACTCCAAAACGACCGCTTGAATGTCAATTTTTTTATTCAATTAAATTACCGGGAGTAATTAACCAATGATTATTTTAAACTGAGTGCAATTGATGTGTAATTTTAATGTGTTTAAAATTGAGAGCAGGAAGAGGTGCTGAGAGATAGGAAAAAAATTCCGATAGTATTTATTACGAAAAGCTCAACAATTTCTCTTTATCTCGTTGCAGTGATTTCTAATTAGGCTTTTTGGAAATTAAAATTAGAGTATTTTGGTGGGGATAAAATAGAGGAGAGGAATGGTATGGAGAGAGCAGTGGTAGTTGTTTCTAAAATGACCGAAGAAGGGAGAAAGATAAAGGAAAGGGAATGACACCCATGGTGATTTCAAACTAGACGCTGGCAGTGTTGCCAGATGGTTTTGGAGGATAAACCCAATGGGTTCGAGGCACACGGGAGAATTGTGGTACATGCTGGTATGACTCCATGGGTTACAATATTTTTTTCACCAAGATCCACGAAAATTCCAGCTCTCCAACTTTTCTCTTCAATTTTTCCATTTTTTCCCATTTTTCTTTTCATTTCTCTCCCAAATGTCCACCGATTATTAAATAATTAATTTTATTTTCTCATTCGAATTTTCATTTAATTGTTACATCGAAAAAAAACAAATTTAATGAACATTCGATTAATTAAATTTTATACATCAAACTAAAAAACAAATGTTGACTGAATCCCAAAAATTCGGGTTTTCGTTTCAAGGTCAATATCGCAATACCTCAACAATTTCCTTTTGCCTTCATAATCCGATTTTTCATCATTAATCATCGATTTAAAAAATCTCTCCAGTCACTTTCAATTAAAACTCACTCAACCGTCTATTTACTAAAGAGACAACAAACAGAAAATGTTTAGTACGACTTTCTCACTGGAAATTGAAATAGATTTCAATATTTCTCGTGTTACCATTGGCCGTTTACCCCAACGATCTCTGGACACATCATTAATTATTACAAATAGAAAAGTTTTTGGAGGAGCTGCTTTCTGTCAATCTCAATTGAATCTAATCATCTCTAAATGTTCCTGTGTCCTCAATAATCGCAAAGAACTGTTTACAAAATTTCTCCACCTCATTTAAATCTTCATTTCATCAATTCCAATGACTCCAGCTCAATGGATTCACCTGGAGCTGTCCTAAATTGCCATGAAACACCACAAAACTGAAAAATCGTCAAATCATTAATAAATTATTTACCAGTTATTATTTCAATCGGTTAATGAATCTAAAACAAATTTTAAAATCCACCCAAAATCCAGCGTTGAATGACCCACCAACTCCTATCTCCACCGCACCGTAAATCATCACCGGAAGTGCTTGACTCCATCCGAAGGACGTCATTGTGCCCGCATGATTGAACCTCCACTCGTACCAAATAAACCGTTGAATCGTAATGTCCGTCATCAAAACACTCCATTACAAAAAAAAAAAAAACTCATTCACCCCCAGCCGATTAATTCACCTCTGGCCCAGTGAACCCATTCAACAAATTTACCGTCAATTAAAAGAATTATTTATCAAGCCGATGAATTATTCATTGAAATCATGTGGTAATTTCATTTACCCACGGGTAGTTCACCTGTTCCGTTGTGTATTCCATTTCTTCCCCTCAAAAAAAAAAATAAATCCCACAATTTTTTTTACTTCATTTCTTTTTCTATTATATTTTTTTCCTTTTCTATCGAATCTATTCTGTCTATTCCATCTCTTTCTAGCACTCGTGACACCATTGCGTGCAACACCCGCCTGTTGCGCCTGAATATGTAGTACGCAACCTGCATGAGGGGGAGGGTGGGGTACAGAGGGGGTGGGGGTACAGTCGAGGAAGGGGGGCCATTAAGGGGGAACAGGGGGATTTAATTTTAATTCCTTTATTCCGTGTTCGGGAGGTTTTGTTCCCAGTGTACATGCGCACACGCGTTATGGCCGTTATTTTTTTTAAAATGATTCTTCTTTTTTTTTATTTATTTATTTTTTATTCAGTCCAGGTTTTTATTCTCTATTCGTTTATTGGGGACGAGGGAGAGCTGAGTAAGCGAACACCCGGAAACCCTTTGTGTTTGGGCATCGATTGGAATTAATATTGATTTTTTTTTCTTTGTTTGTGTATTTTTAGGGGGATTTCAGGGGGAGGGGGTGATAAGAGAGATATATATATTTTAACAATTACATATTTATCGTGCGGAGAAATATCTCATCCGGTTTCTTTCTCAAAATCCAAATCAAATAAAATGGAATTGTCTTCCGTCAATTTGACCCACCCCTCAGTAATCTGAAATTGATTGATTCGATTGATCAATGATTGGAGAATAATTCAACGTGATTTAATTGAAGGAACAATGCGACGTTGAAACCATTAGAAGAAACAGTATTTTGTATGCGTAGGAGGTGGTGGGGTCGGTGGGGAAGAAGGGGGAGAGCGGGGGAGGAGGGGGTGGAGGGGGGTGACCCATGGGGTCGGTGGGGGGATAAGCAACCATTCAGAATGCAGAAGTGGAGAGGAATATGGAAGTAGTTGATGATACGTTTAGCTGAGAGGTGGAAGTAACTCCACTCTCTTCTGGAGTTGAGAGAGCCACTGGTGTCTCCCCACCTCCTCATCAATTTGTGGTAGGTGGTTTTAGTCCTGACACAAGCCACAAGACATAATGGAATACGACCAATAGTGCACTCGGTTATTGCTGCTCTCGAGGAATTTCTTTGGGATTTGGAGAGTAAAAAATATTTTGTGAGGTGACAGTCCAGGGATTTTTTATTTTTTTTTTTTTATTGAAAAGTTGTGACTTTTTTGGTGATTTGGGGGGCTGTGGGGGATCCTCCAGTGGAGGGGTTTTGGTGATACATGAGGAAACTCCGGGATGGTGTCGTCCTGCGGAAACACAAATGTGAGATTTTTTTTTTTGGGGATCTGATCGTCTGGGGATTTTTTTCGATTCTGGGGAATTGACGCACTGCGTTTTTTCGGGCGGGGAGGGGGTTTGGTGGAGTTTGTTTAGGTCGTTGGTTTGTTTATTTATTTTATTTTTATGAGGGGCTCTCGGTTCTGGGTTTTCTCAGGTATGGAAATTTTTTAGTGTTTTATTCGGCTTGCGACCCATTTTTTTGAAAATTGTTTTGAGGTGAATTTTTCAGAGGATTGTGCGATTTTTATCGTTTTTGGATCTTTGAAAATTTAAATGCCAAGGGTTTCTCCAATTTTTTAAGGAGTATAAGAGTAAAAATTGAAGTTAGATAATTTCCAATGTTTTTTCAGTCCTTTTGAAATTGAAAAATCATTTCGCAGACATGTGTCATTTTTCGACAGACTTCTGGAGGTGAATGAGTAGGAGTTTTGGGCAACCTCTAAATTTTTAGAGAGGTGAAAAAAAAATTGGGTCCGTGGGTGGATTAGTCATTCGGTAATCGAATTTTGAAGGAATGAGATTGAAATCGAATTATCGCTTTCGCCGACTTGCGAAACGATTTGTGAAAAATTCTGGATTCAAGCAGAGGCTTTTCCAAATTTCCAACACATCGGACTTCTCCCCAAAAAGCAGCACCCAAATTTCAAAAAAAAAAAAAAATGCATTAACAAATGGAACGGCAAGCCAGAAGTAAAAATATCGTTAACCCGGGAAATAAATCGGCAATAACCGAATGAAAAAAAAAATTCATTGCAACGAGGGTCTCGTATTTCTCATTAAAATCCCCTTGAACAATGATCGGTGTTTGCACCGATTGCACAGCGATAATAATTTTCCGTCTTCGTCTTGGATTTTAGCGGGAGTAAAGTCGAGGCCAAGTCCCCTGGACTGGAATCCGCGAGAGGAGATGGAAATGGAGGTGGCGGCCTCCGCGCAAACTTTAACGATTGCAAAAAGAAAGAGAACAGAGAAATAAAATAAAAATATGCCATTCGTACAGTCGAGAGTGAAAATTATTTCGTTTTACGTACAGGGGATTGATAATTGTTTGAATAATTATTGGTGGCTGGTGGGCAATTTGACTTGGGGCATTGTCAGCATCCGCATCACGCTCTCTCAATTGAGACTCGTTAAAACGCACCCGCAACAGTTATTCCCACGTTTACAACGTTTATTCACCCCAACTTTGAATTATTATTGTTTTTTTTTTTTAACAACGCTATTTTATGCAGCTCCCCAGCGCTTTTTTATACCGATTTTTTTTTACCGATTTTTCTACCGATTTTTCTACCGATTTTTTTGCAGGACTCGTGAATTTTTCGTGAAGAAAATCGACTTCGAAATTCTAATCGATTTTTTCAGCGATTTATTGGGGATATATTAGGTTTTTTGTGGAGAAAATCGATTTTTTAATTCGGATCGATTCCAGTTTTTCAGTCGTCGATTTTCCACCGATCGAAATCATTATTTTCAGCCTCAAAGAATCGTTTCTTCAATTATTCCGTTTCGTGGTAATTTATAGATTTGTTTCTCATCCAAAAATAAATTTCGCAATCTCTTTGTTTCGGTTTTTCCAATTTTCACCGAAAAACCATTTTCCCATTTCTCCTCAATAATTTCCCCAATTTTCCTTCTCCCGAATTCGGGAAACCTTTCTTTTATTTTTAACAATTAAACCCTTTCGTTTTAAATCCGCAATCTGTAATTTAACTTGTGGACCAATCGTGTCAGGGACACACTGCAAATAATTTTCAAACCATTTCTTTTTTTTCGGCTCGTGTAGAGAGAAAAAAATAATTGGGATGCGTTGTCGCAATAAATGGAATATATCTTATAAATAGACACTTCCGTCATTCGACTGTACGTGAGGGATTTTCTATGTAATTCCATTGGGTTGTATTGCGCTTGGTTTGTCAGACCTACACATGAACCTTCTATAACTCGATTTCATTCTGTGAAAACCGACAGACAATGCACTGAGACTTAACTTCCAGTGGATGGATAAATATTGAAACGTGCCCCAATGAATTCTCAACTTTTTCTTCGGCTCCCATTCAATTCCAATCTCAAACCGCAATACAATGGAACAAAAAAAAAAAAGATAACTCTTCCTCTCCCATTGATTTTTATTTTTACCCCCATTTTGATTTTTATTTTCATCTAATTGTTTTTATTTTTAAGTCCCCCCCTGACATTTGAAGACGTCAAATGTCAAATCTCATAATTTATGATAAATTCTCTGAAATTCAAATGAATAATCAATGAATTAAATTATTTTTAATTAACAACTTTTTGTTCAGTATTTCCAGCTTTTGCTGACGCCCTACAAATCGTTCGTTACTTTTTTTTTTATTGAGAATCGCTATTTTTTTCTAGTCTGTCGTTTGAGATTGTAATAAACAGCTCGAGTGCCAACTACAGTAATTTTTCCCAAATGCTCGTACGTCAGAGGATTAAAAATAGAGCTGAGGATGTCTCGAAAGACATGGAAATCATGTTTCAATATTTGTTTTCCCTTTTCTTTCTATCCAAAGTCCTTGAACTTTGAATAACTCTCGAAACAGGGGACGTCACAGCTCATACACCCGAATTGAAAACCAGAATTATTTCACGTCCCATTCAAACACGCAAAAAAAAAATTAAATTACCATTAAACCTCAAAATGAATATTTCCATTCCACCAAATATTTAATTAGAAAATAGAATAAACTTCGAATGAATAAATATTGAAAAATAAAAATGAGAATGAAATATTTTGTCCTGCAGATGAGCCTCGCTCTCGCTGTCAATCCTGGGACGACGTAGTGCCACCCCCAAGAATGGACCAATTGACAAAACGTCAGAGCCTCCAGCAGCCGCCACATCATCTGCTGGAAGCAACGAGCTCCAATGCCTCAGTGCAATCCGTTAAAAGCGAGGACTCCTGGTGTTCAGCATCGGATCACGAGCCGTCGTCCGACGACGAGTCCGAGAAGAGCAACATGAGCATAAAGAGTAACTGTCAATTACGCAATACCCTGCACAAGGCCAAGACCCTGTGCGACAAGTGGAGGACCCAAAATATAAGACTGAATAATGCAAATGCCGAGACTATTGACACATCAATCAATCAGGGGAGATTATCGAGATGGTTCAGCATCAGGCGAGGATCAACTCATCATTATGACGTTGACTCTTCGTCATCTGATACGTCCACTGTCTCGATGTGCAGTCCTATCAAGGGACAGCCATCATCAACACCTCTTCAGAGATCACCAGTACCCAGTGCCAACACCATGACACGTTTAATTGAGGTATCCCATCGTCATGGTCTAATTAACAATTGCCAATTGATATTTTCAAACTAATTATCAATTTTTCGAGTTTGATGAATGTATGAATTCGTTTGAATTCCAGGAGGAGGAGACTTATGGATCAAACTCATCGCCAGCAGCTGCGATTATGCAATTCCAATGTCCTCATCATCACAGACAGCCACCCCCAACTCTACCCCCAGCTCCATCAAAACTGACACAACAGCAATTAAAAAGACGTCTCATTGTGGCGGCCCTTGTACAATCGGAGAACAGTTATGTCGCAACGTTACAGAGACTCGTTAATGGGTATAAAAAACCATTGGAGGAGTCCTCACCACCGATACTCAGTCAAACTAAAATAGCAACTCTTTTTCATCGACTACCCGAGATACTGCAGTGTCATACATTGTTTAGAGTGGCTCTCGCCGAGTGTGTCGAGTCTTGGGACAAGGATGAGAGGCTTGGAGATGTATTCGTCGCGAGTTTCAGTAAAGCACTCGTTCTCGATATTTATAGTGGATTTATCAATAATTTTTCCGTTGCCATGGACCTCGCCAAGCAGGAGTCCAAACGGAAAACTGCACTTGCTGATTTTTTCAAGGTAATTACTCTTGAAATTACAGGTGATGTTGAAATCTCATGAAGTTTTATAAAATTTTATAAATTCCCTTGATACTCATCGAAATTATTTATTAATCATTGATTCCAGTGAAATTATTTTCGAGAAATAATAGTAGACTGTGATTATCATATTCTCCATAAAACCGCGATTGTCTCAACATTTAAATAGAGTCCACGCACGTCCGCTGTCTCATCTTTCTCGGTATTACAATGAAAATTATTTTATTATATGAATATTATTATAAAACTCCATGCAATCCCTACAATTCCTTCCAATTTTGAATTCTTCGTTAAAATGTCTAGCCCAAAGAATAATTTTTGCAGAGTAATTCATGAGATTGATTTTTTTTTTGGAGGATAATTTTCTGGGGTATCCATTGGGGTCATTGTCGACCCCATAAATGTAAAAGACACCGGCAATTTCGATTGAATTTTTTATGGCTTGATGAATTGGTTTATTTATAATACTGATGTGTCTCTTTAGCGAGGTTTATTAATTATCGCCATTACGACTTTCGTAATCACCAGGTGAAGCAAATAAGTGCCCATGATAGGCTGTCCTTCTTTGGACTGATGGTGAAACCAGTGCAGAGGTTTCCACAATTCATTCTCTTCCTTCAGGTAAACAAAACCATTAACTATTGATATTATTAATAACCAAGAGATACTATTCCTCCAACGAGAGATTCATAACGCCCTTGTTAAATTTTTTTAAACCGATTATCCAATGCATTGACACCCGCAGGACCTTTTGAAACACACACCACAAGGTCACCATGACAGGATGTCCCTGCAACTAGCCCTGACGCAGCTAGAGAGTTTAGCAGAAATGTTGAATGAAAGGAAACGAGAGGCCGAGCAATTCCAGGCATTCAAAGAAATGTTACGTCACGTTTCTGGAAAGCTCTCCCACCGGCCACTTTCATCTTCCTCTAGATATCTGATAAGAGAGGACAATGTTACACAATTGGAATTCAATGCCAGTGGAATGATAACAAAGTCCAAAAGAAGAAGATTATTGTTGCTTAATGATTTGGTTGTTTGTGTGTCGGTCGCGCCAAGATCGATCGATGATTTTTCCAGCAGCGAGAGGCTCACCCTCAAGTGGACGCATCCGGTGTCCGACATTGAGGTACTCCCCAATTATCAGTCAAAAATATATTGATACTAATTTTTTTTTTCGTGTTGATATATCGGCACTACTCATTCTGCTTCGAAAATAATAAATTCTTCACTGATTCGCCGAGCACTTCATCCTCATGTTTTATTCTCAATTCGTATTCAAGATTCAAGACACCAGTACATCGCCAACACTGAGCCGATTACTCACCGCTGGATTGAACAAAGGCGGCAGTTTGAAGTCCGACAAGAGTGGGGGAATGAATGAGAGTAGTCAGGCAGGTGCTGATACCCTCTGCGTGGAAATGAATGATCTTATGCATGATTACGAGGTCATGTCGAGGATAAGTGATTTGGTTACACAACTCAAGGGCACGTATGAGGTAAATTCAACCGCATTTATTTGTTATTCTATCAAACAAGCTTTAAATTCGGTGAGATTTCACTACCTGGCACTCAATTCGTGGAATGGGTAAGGATGTTTATCTTCTCCACGCCAAAAATCCTCACTGGCAATGAAAAACTTCACGATAAACGGTGAAAACATGGGATTGAGTGAATTCACTCGTGGGCCCATTGCGCAGCTAACTACACAGCTTGGGCAGCTCGCGCATGCGTAGGCAAGGGCTGTTAGAATAGGGATTACCCACAATTTATGGACTGAAAAATAGAGAATCATTATTAATCCTCGGTAATAACGTCATTGTTAATGAATGAATTATTTTTGGAACTTTCAGGGTATATCAGTTCAACAGACGAAGCAGATACTTCAGTCGATTCAGTCGTCAGTCCAGCAGAAGGACGAGGACATGATATGGGCGGACAGCTGTTGCCTCCAGCTGAGTACAAAACAAGGACAAATGTACACCTTCCAAACGGAGAATCCCCTGGTGAAGAAGGATTGGATTACAGAATTGCGTCTTGCCCAGCTCGCTCTGGACCCCAACAACTCACCCTCCTGGGAAGTACCTGAGCAGGAGCAACGGCCCAGCACCAAGATGCCGCTCTTCGTCAAATCCCAGCCTGTCTACAGCTCCCAATATGCGTCAGAAGTCACCTGTGGCTGCTACTACACCACTCAGTCACCAAAACCAACGAGAAGACACACCTCGAGGCATCCTCAGAGCTACCTCTGGATCTGCACGGGTAATGGTGTCTCCAGTCACATCACGGTCTTCTCCCAGTCGACGTCTGCAACGTCTTCCTCGACTTCCCTGAAGAAGACGTCGGCATTCGATCTTTTTGAGACGAAAGTTACAGCTATCGAGTTCGTCAAGAGCTTCAGCACTCTCAATCCTGATCTGATATTCCTGGGAACGGATTCTCATAAAGTCATAATTTATAATGCCGTGGAGCCTGAGAAACAGGAGCAGATGGGAATGTACCCAACACCTGGATCTGTCATTCAGATCAAGTATCACTGCGACAATATCTTCATTGCTCTGGACACGGGGAATCTCTTGATTTACAAAAGGAATCAGGATGGTAGCTGGAATCTTTCGGCACCGAGTCAAGCATCTCTGGGTCGCGATCCAGTCGCCAGTCTGATGCCCATCAATTCGACGGTCTATGCAGCGTCTGGTAAGAAGGTATGGGTCCTCTCGGGCCCCACTGGTGAAGTCCTGAAGAGCTTCTCCGTTCAGCACGAACACGTGGGGAATGTCAAGCTGATGGCGCACTCTGGTGTTGGGCTCTGGGTGGCCCTCAAGAACTCATCCACCGTCTGCCTCTACCACACTGAGACGTTCAAGCACCTTCAGGATATCAACATCGCCTCGAATGTCCTCAGGGTCACCAAGACCTCAATATTGGACAGACTTGGAACACCTGGGGAGAACGGTGAGAACGCCTCCGTCACGGTGACAGCTCTCATGGCCTGCAAGGGTCTCCTCTGGGTGGGGACTAACGTCGGCATCAGTCTCACTATTCCCCTTCCTCGATTAGAGGGCGTTCCCATAATCAGTGGACGTGTCAATATAAGTTACCACGCCCATTTCGGACCAATCACATTTTTACTGGCACTTCAGAACTCCAAGGTCGTTTATCCGAAAGAGGAACTCGAGGTGGAGGAGGTTAAGGGTAACGAGGAAGAGGTCAATAAGAATAGAGTTGACAAGTTGAAGCAACAGTTGGCGGGTAGTCCTGTGGCCTTGAGACGAAAAAAGGTGAGAGAGAGTGAGTACAGGGGTTCTAAGACACTTCCCAGGGGCTTCGGTGGGAATTTCTCCGCCCAGGGGGCATTCCTCGGGAACTCCCTGAGTAATTCGTCGGGATCGTCAGGGGAGAATTGCAATGTTTATGGTTTGTATGAGGAACTTATGTACCCCAGGAACTACGAGAATGATAATAATTCAGGCGTTGATACTATTTATGAGAGCCTCAGGCGTTCTGATCCCGAACTTGGGGGCGTGCCTAGTAAAGTTAATACTCTCGATCGACGGCTTAAGATGAAGATAACGAGGCCCAGGTCTCTCGATCTCAGCAATTGGTCAGTCGATTCACATGCAAGCTCTTTGTACACGTCGTCCGGGTCCGAGGAGAATCTCTCCAAGGGCAAGCTTTCCAGAAATGGGTCCTGTGTTAGTAGGAGTGGGGGTCGGGAGGCGGGATTTGCATTTACGGGTGGGGGAAAAGAGGAAGATAAAGCGACAAAGGTGTGTAGCAAGGGCACGGGGAAGAGGAAGGTACAGGTTGTTGAGCAGCCGAAGAGAACTGTTCTTACCCTTATGGGGGGCAGAGGGTATGTTAATTGGAGGCAATTGGGGGGTGTTCAGGGGAAAGGGATGAGAGAGCCTAATAGTAATGATGCACATATTGTTTTGTGGGAGATGAAGTTGTAGGGGGAGGGATGAATGTGCGAGGGGCTGAGGGCGACCTGGGGGAGCTTCTTCGGGGAAGGGCTTGGAAGTGGGTCGTCATGGTAATCGTTTTCAGGGAAAATTTTGCTGGCTTTCACGTGGTCGTGATCATTTTTTTCCCTTGATCTCATTTTCAGAGATATTTGGGGCGAGAGATAGAACGGTTCGTGGGATGGAAATGAGTTTAGGCTCAGGTTCTCCTCAGCCACTTTGTGTATTTATTCCCAACTCTCCCGGTGCTTATTTAACGTGCAAATCGACAATAATCTGAAATTAAGAATCTCAAAGAGAAATTATTTTTTTTTCTATTCGTCACGTCAATTTTTTTTTCGTTAATCCCAATGCAATTTGTTCTCATGGAAAAAGACATTCCTAATTTATTAATGACGTGAAAATGACTTAAAAATGATGAAAAAAAGTTGATTATAAATCACCAAAGAAAAATTGAAGAAGACGAAAAATACATTCTTGTATGAAAATTATTTTTCAAAACAAATGTAATTAAGAAGAATCCACTAGTAAATTTTTCTGATGAAAAATTCATTTTTTGTTGAAATAATGTTAAATAAGCCATGGATATATATTAATAATGTTCAAATTTTCTGGGCCTTGTTAGTTATTAAATCGTGAAATTACTATTGAAAAAACAACTGTTCACATTTTATAAATAAGCGAATGGAATAAAAAACAGTTGAAGCTTTTTCTTATAGAAATTTTCGATCGAGTTTTTGAACTAAAATATTTATATATATTTTCTGCCATTGTTTTTTTCCGCAAAGTATTTGTGGAGAGAGAAGCAACAATTAATCACTTGGGAAATGAACTTTGTTAGTTCTTAATTATTATATTCTTGTGATAAGAGAAACTAGAAAAATTATAATAATGGTTGATAACACGAATGTTACCCCGTATTGCGTGATTGAAATGAATGAATCTAGTTGATTAGAAAAATTAAATGGGAGATTTGATGTGCTTTCGAATGCTCGGTGATGAATTTTCTTTTGTATGAGAAGTATATGACAGGAGTTTATGTATATACATAATGCACTCGAAGGCCAGCAGGTGCCATTGTAAAATTCTCACAATTATGTTTACTCATTACTTTTCTCTTCATTATTTTTGATTTTCTTTTTTCTTTGTAATTTAAACAAACGTTATTGAGATATCTATGAGTATAATTATTTTTCATCAAGCAGAACTCATTGTCTTCCTCATTTTATTTATTATTTATTATCCTAATCGTAACCTCATCTTCAAAAATTCCCCTTTCCCTTTTCCCCTATTTTTTTCCAATTTGAAAGCTGAAGAACTCCAATTTTTTATCATATTTTCTCGTTTTTATTCATTAAAAAAATACATGTTGCAGTTGTTAATAGAAATTGTGGTTTGCCAATCGTTCTGATCTGTGAAAAAAAATCAAAAGGGTATTTTTTAGGATAAAAAATCAATATTCAGGGGATTTTTCTGTTCAGCGAGGCAAAAACGTCAGTTGATAGGATGTTTAAACATTAAAATTATGATATGAACTCATTACTCAGTGTTGATGTCATTATGTGATATTTGTAATTAATTCATGACTATTAAATTGGAGATAAATTTATTCTGATCACTTATTCGACTAGCAGAATTTCGAGGAAAGACTTTGGACGCTTGTTTCTCTTGTATTTCAATTTTTTGGAGTCCAGGAAACCCGATAAATCTGAAAACAGAGCAGAACATGTACGTTAGGAAATAATTCTCGTATTAAAAAATCGTGTGTCGATGATTTCAACGCATCAGTTGGTAGTGCATGTTAACAAATAATCATGTAATCAGCATTCGGTGTTTATTTCATCATAAAATGTTAAAAAATTCATCAAGATGACTCAGAGAAAAAATATCTTACCTCTTATTCAGTCCCCAATGGAAGGGCCCGATGTTCACCAGTTTCGAATTTCCTCCCAACAGACCCAATTTTATTTTTCATTAATTCATCTCAAATTATTATTACTCCTAAATTAAATCGCGATATAAAAGACACACGAGAGATTTCATGAAAGAATATACCAGAATTCACCCCCATTATCCCCTCGATTTTTTTCGACCTCCAAAAATCTGAAACGGGAAAAAAATTACAGTTAATAAAAAATTCGTATCTTCAAAAATTGGATGTCGGAGATTTTAAAACATCAGTTGGTAGTGCATGTTAACAAATAATCATGTAATCAGCATTCGGTGTTTATGTCATCATAAAATTATAAAACATTCACACGAATAATTTCAAAAACTCTAGAAATGAAATTTATAAAATTCCACGTGCTGGTCTAACCTCGAAATGCTCGCCAAAACGTACCCCCCAAAAACCAGCAAAAAAATCTACCACAAAATTCTATGCAAATTGTAAAAAAAAATCAATTACAGAGAATAAAAAATGATTTTCCAAAAAATCTCTGAACAAAAAATCAAAAAACTTTTTTTTCTTACGATCACTTCCACGCGTCTTCGTCAGCTTCCCATGAGAGAGTGCCCGACAAAGAGGATTGGTGAAAGTAGAGGCTCAGTTTTGGGGTTTTGAGTGACCCCAGCGGCATCGTAGTACTGCACCCCCAGAGAGAGAGAGCGCCACCCGCAATGCTGGGGTGTCCATCAAGTCGACGGGGTGAATTTTATGTTCTGCGGTATGAATGCCTTTTGTTTTTTATTTGTTTAACTGAAATTTAGCCGACTACAACGAACGGAAGGAGGAAGCCACATCTGGTGGAATTTTGAATGGAAAAAATTATTCAATATACTGAAGATATACTACTAATGAAATTATATTATTAATATTAGCGCGTTATCTCTGCGGTAACGCGCTTGGCTAGCACGCCGACGGCCGGGGTTCAATCCCGCCGTCATTCATTTTTTTTTTTAAATAATTACAATTTTTTTTTTGTAAATGGCTAATCAATCGAAATATTGGTTAAAAACTGAATAGCTCCTCGATTTTCATGTTCCCCTGATACTTTTTCGAAAATTTCGAATTTTTCACATTCAGTAAAAATTTCAAGGAATAGCTCCTCGATTGTCATGTTACCCTGATACTTTTTCAAGAATTTCGAATTTTTCACTTTCAGTGAAAATTTCAGTGAATAGCTCCTCGATTATCATGTTACCCTGATACTTTTTCAAGAATTTCGAATTTTTCACTTTCAGTGAAAATTTCAGTGAATAGCTCCTCGATTGTCATGTTATCCTGATACTTTTTCAAGAATTTCGAATTTTTCACTTTCAGTGAAAATTTCACCGAAGAGCTCCTCGATTGTCATGTTCTCCTGATACTTTTACAAAAATTTCGAATCTTTCACTTTCAGTGAAAATTTCACTGAAGAGCTCCTCGATTGTCATGTTACCCTGATACTTTTACAAAAATTTCGAATTTTTCACTTTCAGTGAAAATTTCAGTGAAGAGCTCCTCGATTGTCATGTTCTCCTGATACTTTTATAAAAATTTCGAATTTTTCACTTTCAGTGAAAATTTCAGTGAAGAGCTCCTCGATTGTCATGTTCTCCTGATACTTTTTCAAAAATTTCGAATTTTTCAATTGCAGTGAATACCTACCTAAAGAAAAAATTGGAATTATTTAAAAAAAAAAATGAATGATGACAGGATCGAACCCTGGCCGTCTGCGTGGTAGGCAAGCACGTTACCAATTAGACAACGTGTTATTCTAAAAATGCATTGTTATTAGGAGTATATATTTTCAAAAAGTTTCGTTTTCAAAAATGTAAAATTTTTCAATTTCACTGGATATCTTTCCGATTTTTAAATATTCAGTTTTTAAGCGATATTTCGATTGATTAGCCAATTAAAAAAAGATAAAATTGAAATTATTTTGAAAAAAAAAATGAATGACGGCGGGATTGAACCCTGGCCGTCGGCGTGGTAGGCAAGCACGTTACCAATTAGACAACTCGCGCTTATTTAAAAATATTATTTCATTAGTGGTATATCTTCAATACATTGAATTTTTTTTTCCATTGAAATTCCACAAGATGTGGTTTCCCCCTTCCGCACCTTCTACAGTCGGCTAAATTTCAGTTAAACAAATAAAAATCAAAAAGCATTCACACTGCAGAAAATAAAATTCACCCCGTCGACTTGATGGACACCCCAGCATTGCGTGTTGCGCCCTCCCTCTCTTGGGGTGAGGTACTACGATGCCGCTGGGGTCACTCAAACCCCCAGAACCGCCTCTACTGCAAAATCCTCTTTGGTAACCTATTGAAAACATGAAGAAAAATCCAAAACTGCCGCGTGCTGTGAAAAAAAACTGAAGATTCCTCATTTTTTCGAAATTAATCTCGAGGTGAAAGACGAATTCCAGAGGAAGAGCCATCCGGAGTCACCGAGGGATCACCCACTGGTATATCTGAACAGTTTGGACCCCTAGACCCCCACGAATTTCCAAAAACGAAATAATTTCCTCTCCTACTCTTCGTCTTGTATTTTTCAGTATTTAATCGATGAATAAAATTCATTTTGCTACCGCCACTCGAATTTCGGGGTTGACAAAAAATTTTCCCCAGAGCATGAGCGATTGAAACTAGGAGAATTCATTATTCTCGTATTTTTCTATCGATTCTGAATGGGTGATCATGAATTTGCCAAATGAATCAGTTATTATTCTCGATTCGCCGGAAATTAAGAGCATGGCGAGGAGGAGGAGTCTCAAGGTCAAGAGGAGTCTCAAGGTATCGAGGACTCAATCTGGGAAGAGGAAGTCCGTAGGGGTAAAAGGGAATAGAACCCCCTTGAGAGCTGTTTCCAGGAGCATTTTTAGAGGGTCAAACACTCCGTCTCGGTATTTTTTTTTTGCGTATTTATTCATCTGGTGTTGAATTCTCGAAGATGATATGGATGTGGAATTTTCATTGGAATTCCTATCCAGTAATTCTGAATAATTACGAAATTTTTCTAGCAATTGCCTAATAAATATTGGAGATGAAATAAGAATTAGAATCTGTTGAAATTGCAATAAATTCCCAAGTAGAATTTTTTCACTTCGATATTCTCAATGCAAGATATTTTTCCTGGGTAAAAAAACGGTATAAAAACGTCTGAACGCATTTTCATTGTGCATTGACCTTCAAAAATGATGAATCGATGATCCAGAAGTGATTTCACTCCATTGACGATAAAAAGGAAACGACAGAGAAGTCAGGGCGGCACTCCAAAGACCCAGAAGAGGCGACGAAAATCCAAGCCATCAGAGAACGACGATGACTCTGTAATCGTCCTGAGTGATGACGACGAAATCCAAGAGCTTCCTGTCCGCCCTGACCCCCCAAGAGTCATACCAACCTCCGGTCCACCGACCACCAAGACATCCCATGGAAAAAATTTGAGGAATCAACTGAGAAAATCACAGCGACTGAGAGTTAGGAAGAAGGCAAAAGTTCCGACCCAAAAATTGAAGAGGAGACCCAACGACGAGGACCTCGAGGTGCTCTGGTCATCGAAATCTGTCCCAGAGTCTGCCCCAGGGGTTGGAGACGAGAGGGTGAATTCACCCACAGAATCTCAAGGGAACCAAGAGAATGTGTCAAATCCAGAGGAGAATTTTTTCGTTGACATCGCTGGAGACACGTCCCTGTTCCTCGTTGATTGTCTCGAGGATGATCACGAGAAGGGGAAGAGTAAGAGGAATAAGAAGCCAGGGGAGGAGGAGCGGTTGAGGGAGATTATTATTGATGGGTGCAATGTTGCCATGGCACATGCCAACTCCAAGGGATTCTCTGAGCAAGGACTCAAGATCGTCTTGGATTATTTCACCGAGAGGGGCCACAAGGTCACAATTTTTGTGCCGCAGCACAAGCGTCACAGAAATCGTCAGATGCTCGAAACGTGGAATCGAGAGGGAATCGTCGTTTTTACGCCTAGTAGAAAAATTGGACAGAAGAGCATCACCCCTTATGACGACAGGTAAAATATTTATTTTAATTTTTCAATTGAACTTTAATCGTGAAAAAAATTAATGGGTAATTTTCAGGTACATCCTTGAGTATGCGACAAAATGCCAAGGGATTATCATATCGTCAGATCAATTTCGTGATTTATGGAATGAAAAACCAGAATGGAGGGAGACCATTGAGAAACGATTATTGGCCCCGACATTTGTCGGTGATTACCTCATGTTCCCGGAGGATCCACTCGGACGATTTGGACCTAGTCTGCATGATTTTCTCAGACTATAATCCCAGGATAAATACTTTCCAAGAAATATCTCTGTACATACCGTTTGTATCGTTTTATCTTGTTAGCGTTCTATTGTTTTTGTTTATTGCACATCGTGGTGGTATACGATGACACCAGAGGCATTCTATGAGGGAGAGGATTCAGTGGGAGAAAGAATTCACCAATTCTTATGTACATAATCTTATCTTCTTTATTTCTCCAGCCACTGATATTGTGAATCATCTGGCATATATATTTCGTAGAAAAACCATTTAAAAAATAAGAAAGTTATTTTTTTTTTCACGGGAAATAAATAAATTATAATAATTCCATTGTTTGGCGTGTTTAAACTTCAGACTTATCAAAATTTCAGTGAATAACAATTTCGTAACGCAGAAAATAACATTCATCTGGACTGGTCCCTTTGACAGCGGAACTGCTACTGAGGCAGTACCGAGGCGGCTGAGGGGCAGCCACCCCCATTGCGTCTGGCCCTCCCTCTCTTCGGGTGCAGTACTACGATGCCGCTGGGGTTGTAAAGTCCTCTTTGATCCGAGACATCAAGAATCAGGATTTCCAGCTGAGCCTCAAAACGTCGGTTTCCAGCACCACTTCCTGCTCTTCTTAATTCCCTCCATGCTCTCCTGAGCGCTCTCCCGAGCTAGCCTGTGAACAGGTGCCACCATGTGGCCTTCAACTTTGGCACTGGCTAGGACCGTGTCATGAATCATGGCTGAGCTAACTCCACTCTTCGAGAACAACTTGCTCAAGACATAATTATCATCATCAACGACTTCCTCATCTCCGCCGCTCCTCCCCAGCCTCCGTCCGACAAGATATTCCACCCTCTCCCCTTCAAACACTGCGGAGACCCCCGGAGCTCCTCCGTCGGCATTGGCCCTCTTCCTGACTATCGAATTTCCAAACAATCTATCAGACTCTGTGGATGCACCGTCGATCGGTTCGTTGAGATGAAACAATTCCGACAAATCCGATGTTTGGAATAGCCTCCGCTGTCTCGGATCGTCAAGTACTTTATTCGACAGCAGGAGTTTGAAGATCTGTCGGTGATAGATCTTCTCCTCAATGGTACCCGCACTGATCAATCGGTAGATCGTGACATTTTTCATTTGACCGATTCTCCAGGCTCTCTCCCTGGCCTGAGCGTCAGTCGCTGGATTCCAGTCAGGATCGTAAATTATCACGCGATTTGCTCCGGTCAGGTTGATCCCAAGGCCGCCGACTCTCGTCGTCGATATGAAGACGAAGTACGAGTCGTCCTGGTTGAAGAGTTTGATGCTTTTCTGGCGCTCGGTCATGGGAGTGGTACCATCTAGTCGGAGATATTTGTAATCCTCTTTCTGGAGGAGACCCTCCAGGACGGCCATCATCTGTCGGCCCTGGGTGAAGATCAGGGCCCTGTGTCCCTGTTTTTTCCATATCTTCAGGAGAGACCTCACCACCGTCATCTTCCCTGATTTCCTCCAGTGGCCGAATTCCTCGAGAACGTTCTCGTCGATCTCCTCTTCCTCTTCATCATCGTCGTCGTCTCCGCGGATGGTGTGGCCCGGGGAATTAGCGGTGTACGTGAACAGGTCTGGATGATTGCAGATCTTCCTCAGAGCGGTGACCGCTACCAGCATTCGCGCTCTGCCCCGGCCGTCTGTTGTCGTTTTATCGTGGAGGATGGTCTTGACGTTCTCGGAGATGAGGTAGTTCTTGTAGAGATCTGTCTGCTCATCTGTGAGACTGCAGAAGAGGACTTGTTCGTTCTTCTCTGGAAGGGTGAGGTGATGCTGGACGTCGGTTTTTGTACGGCGAAGCATATAAGGAGTGATGGCTTCCTTCAGCATGGTCGCCACCTGGAGAGCTGTTGCCTCCTGGAGGGTTGAAGCGTTGGCGTAACCTCCTCGGGTGATGGGGGTCGCGCAGTGCTCGATGAAGGCGTCGAGTGTTCCCAATTTTCCTGGGAGGATGAAGTCGAAGAGCGACCAGAGTTCCTTCAGAGAATTCTGCATTGGACTTCCTGTCAGGAGCAACCGGTGGGGAGTCGACAGCTTCTTCACGAGTTTCGTTATCTTTGCGGAAGGATTTCTTATCTTGTGTCCCTCGTCGAGGATGACGTAATGCCACTTGAAGGGTATCAGCAGGTCCGAGTTTCGGATGACGCCTGAGTACGAGGTCAGGAGAACTCCTCCTGTCTTCAAGGACTCCACAAGATCGGAGGGAGATCCGTGGTAGCTGCCGGATTGGTGGAGGGTCGCTACTCTCAGGGCGGGGTACCACGAGTGGAAGTGGTCCACCCACTGTTCAAGCAGGGTCGCAGGGCAGATGATCAGGGTTGGACCTAGACCTCGGAAACGACCGCCGTCTGACAGCAATTCACTGCAGTCAAGACCTGCGAGAAATGCGATCACTTGGACGGTTTTTCCCAGGCCCATTTCGTCCCCCAGGAGGCCGCCTAGGCTCCGGCTGTGGAGTTCCCACAGCCAGTGGACCGACACCCGTTGGTACGGGTACAGGCGCTTCCACAGGGACTTGGGGAGTTTGAAGAGGTTCGAGACAGTTCGTAAAGACGTCCCCGAAGGGTTCGCCGAGGTCCTCGGGAGTTTTGACAGGCGCGAGTGGTAATTCTCCTCGTCACCGTCGTCCAGGGTTTTTCGGGGGTTGCGTTTACGTTTTTGGGGTCGGGGGGAGGACGGGGGGCTAACGGATTCATCCGAGGATGGGGCGTATTCACTGCCCGATTCGGCGTCTAAAGGAATTTTTGGATTGTCTGGAGGATTTTTTGAATTATGAGATTTTATGGCGGGAGATTTTTTGAGGGATTTCCGGTCTGGATATTTTAATTGAGTCGGGGCGTTTTCCGGGGGTTTCTTCGGGTTATCGGGGATTTTTTGGGACTTTTTGAGCCTCTCGGCGGTTTCGGAATGGGTCTCCTGGAGTTTTGAGGCGAGACGAGCCTTTTTCGGGGGTTTTTCGGGTTTCAGGGAATTTTTTGGATTCTGTTTACGCTTTGCTGCTACCTCGGCCTGTCTTTTGAGGTATTTCTCCAGGTCCAAGAGACCTGTTGTCGCATTGAAGGTCCTGAAAATTTTATTCACCGTTCGAACTCATCTCTGGAGATTCGGAATTTTTTTCTGGAGGAGTGAAATTCGAATTTTCCACATTTTCCATTTTTACTCTTACGAAAAAATAATCTAATAACTCTATTAGATGAAAAAATTAGGGGAGTGCGGGGTCTTATCGGTCCATTTTTATTCATCGACTAATCACGAAATACGATATTTGTTTAAATAAATAATTGGATAGAATAAATGATGAATAGATTTTTTTTTTCGTAGAATATCCGCTCGAAGGGAAAAACTGACATTTTTAATTTGAATCATCGAAATACAGGAAAATATTCATACCCAGTGCTCGAGAGGGACTTCTTCTTGGCGTCAGCCTCGAATGGTGTGATTTCCCCCAGGTCCACCTGTCTCTGGATATTCGCCCCTTCATCCTGGGGGTCATGGGCCTTCTCTCGGGATAATTCATCGAGTTTCTTCGACAATTCCTTGTGGACATCATCTTCTGCACAAATCTCGAGGACCTGGGGAAAAATAATTCAGTCTCAGAATTTTCTCGTCATCCCAGTGAGAGCATTTGCTCCTGTCTTTTTTCAAGGTCATTCGAAAATAATTACAAACATCAAGGCTCAAGTGACAGCTATTTTTTTTTATCAGTGGGTAATAATAATTGTAATGTGATTATTATTTAAATGACACAGACTCACCTCAGAAATCTCAGGGAGTGATTCATCAGTTTTCTTCATCCCTCATTTAATGATTTTTACTGATTTAATTCATTAATTATTTGTTTACGATTTATTCTGCTGTTTCGTGTTGACACATGTTTCTTGGAGTGAATTTTCATGAACGACGAAAAAGGGATGAGCAGTCGCTCGCCATGAGAATACTTTTTCAAAAATAAAAATTGAAATTTGGGTTAGAAAATAAAAAAATTTTCTATAAAAATTTATTAAATATAAACTTACAAAATATATTCGCCGACAGTTCTGTATATATATATATCTGTATAATTAAACAATCTGAGCATATGTTCTCTACACTGGAACGATAAAATAATGAAAAATCTTAACGCAAAATAATTTTGTTCTAAAAAAAAGTGTCTTCTAATTAAATGGAAGATATAAACCGAAAGCAAGAGAGTAAGTCTATCAGTTCCTCGGTGACGCCCGGAAAGAAACAATCGTCTATTTTTTCTCTCGAATGTATAATTAATTAATTTTTCGAAAATTATTTAATACTTTCTATTGTATGATGGGTTGTCCCTCGTTATCATGGGAACGAAGGGATTAACGTAATTCTTGATAATGGGACGTGGATTGTCCATCAGTTATGCCCTGAGCCGCCAATTCGGACAGTGTCCTCTCCAGGTAAGTGACGTCTGGGTATCCGTGACCCGAGGTCGACGGTCCCAACTCAGTTTTGTGATGAATCTCGTTCCAGGTGACGACATCCTCACGTCCCGTCGTCACTGATCTACCGATTGTGAAGGTCAGACGTCTCTCGAAGGCGATCTGCAGGAGTCGGAGGACCCTGCGCCCCAGATCGTTATCAGGGAGATAGCAGACCCGGGGAAAACCGACGGCGTAGTACGTCTGGCCTGGGTTGGGGTGTTCCGGGCCTTGAATTCCGGATGGAATGCTGAGGAAATGAAAAAATTAGAGAATTCCAAATAAATAAAGAGTTACATGGACCCATAATTAAATAAAATTCAATAAAATCCATTTACTCATAAGTAATCTGGATGGTGTGGGTGTGGGGAAATCCTGAGAGTGCCCTGGGTATCCTCGTCCAGTTCATGGAACCTGGGGGCTGATTTCCCCGTTTTTCCCCGTAGATCATGCGACAGACTGGGCACTGGATGTACATGGGGTGCTGCTGGGAGCTGAGCATTGCGTTGAGACACGCTAGATGCAGCCGGTGATGGCACCTCGTCAATTCCACGGTGAGAGGCTCCGGTGTACCTAGACAAACTGGACACGAATCCGTTCCATCGCTCTCCACGACCTTGACGTACTGCGATATAACGTCCGAGTGCATTTGCATGTCGCCTGAATCCTTGAAGAGCTCGTCGCTACCGATGCTGCTGTCCAGAAGGTCCACTGGGTTCTCGTGGCTCAAGTACGTGGAGACAGTGTCGACACTTGGACGACGGCCACTCTTGGTGCTGCTTGAGTCAGCGTCCAGGACACTCTCCCAGTTTTTTCGCTTCTGGGATGACTCGGTTGGGGTTATCGGGGCTGGCTCCATCGGCGTCTTTGTACCGAAAATATTGAAGTTACTCAGGATTACTCGGGCTATATTTGCGGGACCGTTTTCACTGCTTTTACTCTTCTTCGAGGATTTTTTGGAGCTGCCACACGGTGGCTTCTTCAGGGCACTCTTGCTGCTGGTATTCTTGACATTGGGCTGCGGCAATGGTCGTCTTCCTGTCGCATAGTGAAGCTCATCCAGGGTGACCTTGACTAGAGGATAAGGGGCTTGTTGCACCCGACGTATTGGACGCACATATCCAGTGCAACATCGGACTTGCGTGAGATTGCAGAAATTAATGATGTAGGGAAATCCCAAGTACGTTTTTGAAACGTCAATAGTTTTGTTTCCCTGTTGTAAAAATTGCATGAGTTTTTGAAAATAGACATTAATTAATTGGTGGGGAATTTGATAATTACCATTGCCCATGCCTCTTCGATGAGACATTGCACTTCCATGTCGTACGTGTGCCAGTCGTCGGTGTCACCAGCCCATTCCCATTTGGCACCTTTACCAGCTGGTGATCCTGGCAGATAGAATTTACGTCTGACACTGTGAATCTCATCCCCATCGTCGCTGCACTGGGTCTTTGTTTTCAAATTGATGTAGTACCTGTCGAGTGTTGTATCGGCGTCATTGAGAAAAACTCGAGTGAGTTTTTTAAAATGTGCGCGTTCTAGATGCTGTGATACAGCTGGACTGTAGGGTCTCCATCTACCCTGTCTATTTTCCCATTCCCACACGACAACAGCGTGTCCATGCTCCTGTACGTGTTGTGCATTCATCTTCACTCTGGAATTTCACACGCACGTCACCAACACACAGTTACATGACAATGAGAGCGTGGGAACATTCGTTGGACACTCGATGTTGATGAGTTATTTGTTTCACTGGGGTATTGTTGATTTGCAGGCCCTGGGGAACTCACCAGGGTAATTAATCCAGGTGATGATGATTTTGGTGGGTTTGGGGGGCTGGAGATCACGAATACCTGGGGTGTGGACTGATCAAGTGCTCAAGGGCTCGTGATGCACTGGCAATTTGTTGATTATGGACTCGGGACTGACGACATCTGGTGATGGAACAGGTGAATCTCACCTGATTCCTCTCCAAGCCAACCTGAGTGCCTGAACTTGAAGTTCAGGTTTACCCCAGCACGTCCAGGACGACCAGGTCATCCAGGAAATTCAAAACGTCCGAGAGCAACCACTGGGTAGTGCAATAAATAATAAATTAAACTTGAATGAGTGATTAATTAATTAATTCTTAAAAAATTGAATAATAGTAATGGACTTTTGTTATCATATGATAAAGTGAACATGAAGACTAGATTAATTGATATGCAGATTTTATTTAATGTTGCTTTTTGCAATGTTTTATTTAAATAAATAATTGCGCCCTCTCGGCTGTGGGGTTGGTACTAAAAATCGTGCGATTCACGATAAACCCTGGTGATGCCTTCTGGTCAGGTATGTCCTCAGGTTCATTCACTCATTTTTCACTTGTAATTATCCATCATAAAGTGTGATTCAACGGAACTGCCCTATTCCGGTGTCCCACCAACACACCAATCCCCCTGTTCAATAATTCACATCTTTTATCATCCAGCGAGTTCATGTCTCATGATTTATCAGATCAGTTTGTACGTTGATCTCATGTGGGTGGGTCTGGAGTCCTGAATCACCTCCAACTATTCTTCAACCACAAACAAGACACGTCTGTTGATCACTGGGTAAAATTCTTATCTATTATCAATCGGAGTCGATTACTCCAGATTTATTTTATCTGTGACTTTGGGTAGGGGTTATTTTTTTAGTTTGAGGCATTTTTTTAGGATATTTTGGGGATATGGCATCGATATCACTCCCAAGGGTCTTGCAGCAGAGGAAGACCTCTTTGGATCTTCAGCGTGAACATTTTGAGAAGTTCCAGGTGAGACTTCAGACGTTTTTCACGCTCCAGTTTTATCTCGCATTGTGTTCAATTTTTTTAGGATGGACGCAGGGGTTTTAGGGGATTCAGGAAGCGTCCTTGAGTAATTTGCAAGTGTTTTGGAATTTTTGAAATTGTAAACCACAAAGATGATTTTTGAACGACAATATCTCTTATCACTCGAGCCGGATATCAAACAATTTTATTTAATTCCTTTTTTTTTCATTTTAATTTTTTTAATTGATATTATTCATAAATGATGTATTAATCAGGAATTTTTCTCCCAAAAAAAATGCATCTCTTTTCAGTCGACAGTAAACCGATCTTGTCGTATTTTTCCTGATTACTCCTCTCATTACTAATCCGCATGTGGATTTGAAAACCGACTAACAATGATCTGTTGATGATTTTGAACCAGAACTGATGCTTCAGCACGACTCTAGCACCGAGAATATTTGAAAAATCAATTTCACGATTGATTGAATCACCCGCAGCATTAATGGCACTCTAACACAATTGTCGAGGATCGTTATCATTTGTGAGAAATTTTCCCGTATTTCTAGCGACTAACAATGAACAGTGTACCACCTGTGACCGGTAAAATGCTCCAGCAACAGGTGAGATATGATTTTTTAACGGTTTCATCACTTCCAGCGGTCTCCACAGGTTTTATGAAAGTTATTCATGACTTAATGGGACTTTTCCATCGGTTTTGTTTCAGAGTATCGCCATCTCCAAGGCTGTCAATCCCACTGAGACACCCGTCAAGGAGAAACATGTGCGCAGTATCCTTTTTTAATTGATATTTTATTATTCACGAATTGGAAACAATGAGACCATTTTTTTCACACCAAAAATACCAATTCATCAATTTTTAATTGGATTTTTCAAATTAAAGTAATATTATATTATTCATATAATTAATTAACCCTTGAAAAATGAATAAACAATTGCATCTGAATGTTAAAAAAATTCTTAACTCGACGAATGAAGGCGCGATAATCGGTACGTACCAAGAAAAAAGTGGAACGGTCTTCTGGACATTTGTTCTGCGTCAGCCACTGCAGGATAATCGAATAGTCGCCTGGAAATTTTGTCACGTCCTCCACAAGGTTCTTCGAGAGGGTCATCCCCGGGTGATTCACGACTCCCAACGTCATAAAAAAAAACTGGAAGATCTAGGAAAGCTGTGGCAACACCTGCGTGAGGGTTACGGCAAGCTTATCCAGCTGTACATTCGCCTGCTGATAACAAAACTCGAGTTTCACAACAGAAATCCAGGTTTACCTGGCAATCTACAGGTGACAACCGAGGAGCTGGAGGCAATCGGTGAGAACGACATCAACATCTACTTTCAGATGTCAGTGGAGATGTTCGATTACATGGACGACATTCTGAATCTCCAGAGAGCGGTTTTTGGTTCTCTGGATCTGTCGAGATCGAATTCGATGACACCTTGTGGTCAATGTCGACTAGCACCACTGATTCCCTGCATTCAGGACGCATCACAGCTGTACGATTACTGCGTGAAGATACTTTTTAAATTGCATGGAGCACTACCAGCTGATACCCTTCTGGGTCACAGGGACAGATTCTCCAAACAATTTCACGATCTCAAGACATTTTACAACACGATAAAACACATGCAGTACTTCAAGCATCTTATTACGATACCTGGACTGCCCGATAAGCCACCGAATTTCCTGATACAATCAGAATTGAGGACTTATGTGACACCAGTTGTGGTATTGCCCCAGGAAGATCCCATCGACAACGAGAGCACCGTTGACAGCCTCATCGACACCTCAGACACAACCTCCATATCTGATCAATTTGATTCTGCTGGTAATGGTACAATTTCACCAGAGAGTCGTCACGAGAGAGAGCATTACTACGCACAAGAGGCGATGATACAGGAGAATGAGAGGCAGAGGGAGGAACTGCAATTTTTAGTTCGTGAACACCAGAGACTCGTCGAGGAAATGAAACAGCACATGAGAAAAGTCGATCCTGAAATGGCCTTGAAGGATCAGGAGTTGATGAAGCAGAGGCACCTCAATGACGCCCTGGGAAAACAGAGTGCTGAATTGATTGTCAAAGTTAATGAACTCGAGGAGAAAAATCGTTTGCTGGACGAGAAGTTTCAGAAGCTCAAGGAAGTTTACTCGAAACTTCGCGAGGAGCATATTAATTTGATTCGAAAGAAAGCAGAGGTTGATAAACTTCTGGGATCGACTCGTCTCACGCTGGAGCAGTCGGAGCGCCGTACCCAGGAGGTGAATTTGAGAATGGAGGAGCTCCTTCAGGGTCAAGTGACAGCAACCCAGGAGGCGGAGCGTGTCTCCCAGGCGCGTGCCGAGCTCATCGAGGTTCAGAGGCAGTTTGATATGTTGAAGAATGAGAATATCGCTTTATTGGCTAAAATAGAGTTTATTTCGTCGGAGAAATCAGTGGCTGAAGGGGATCTACATGATCTTCTCTCCCAGAAGGAGGAACTGGACACGAGAATATCTGAGCTAACATCAGACATCGAGAGGACTAGAATTCAGTTGAAGAAGGACTCGGACTCTGCCCTTATCGAATTGATATTGAACTCCATTTCATCAGCTGAGCAATTGCTGTTGACCACTTCCATCACCATCGAGAGCCCCTCCATTTCAGCTCTGACTTGCACTCCGGATTATCTGGAGACCCAGAGGCCGTCAGCCCTTCAATCACTTTCAGACGTTGAGAGGAGCTACAAAATTTATCAGGAGAAATCGACGGAGGGCAAACAACTCATAAAATCAACTCTCAATTTTGCCTATTATCTCTCGCTATACCTTATCCACGCCAAATCCACCTCGAACACCTCCACAGATATCACGATTGATGATAAATTGACTGATGAGTGTAAAAAATTATCGAGTGCATCAATTTCTCTTCTCCAGATGATTAAGGCGAAATCGGAAGGGACTGAGGAGCAATTCAAATTAATCAGGGATCAGTTAGAAGTGATTTCTGCGCTTGCCAATGGACTTTCCAAGGCAAGAGGTGATGTAGAGAGAATTGGAGACATGGTGGAGAGTGAATTGCAGGGGATGGACAAAGCTATTGAAGAGGCAGCATCAAAAATTCAGGAGATGCTGACAAAATCACGAGCCGGTGACTCTGGATTGAAGCTCGAAGTGAACGAGAAAATCCTGGACTCGTGTACCGCGCTGATGTCGTGCATCAGAAAACTCGTGAAGAAATCACGATTACTGCAGACTGAGATCGTTGCTCAGGGAAAGGGGACAGCCTCAGCCAAAGAATTTTACAAGCGTAATCACCAGTGGTCCGAGGGACTCATCTCAGCTGCCAAAGCTATTGGCCTTGGTGCAAAATTTCTTCTTGAAGCTGCTGATAAGGTTGTGGGTGGTGATGGAAAATTCGAGCAGCTTGTTGTGGCGTCACAGGGTATTGCTGCATCCACTGCACAACTTGTTGTCGCTAGCAGAGTCAAAGCTGAGAGGAACTCCAGTAATCTTGGGGAATTGACACAGGCTAGTAGAGAAGTCACTCAGGCAACAGCTGGTGTTGTTGCTACAGCCAAGAGTTGCAGTCAAATGGTCGAGGAGAGTGAGGACCTTGGGTTGGAGGGATTGAGTCTTCATCAGGCCAAGAGGCTGGAGATGGAGGCCCAGGTGAGGGTTCTCGAGTTGGAACAAGCACTTGAAACTGAGAGACTCAAACTTGCGGCTTTGAGGAGAAGGCATTATCAACTTGCTGGAGATGTTTGAAGGGGAGTACCGAAATTATTGAAATTATTTTGAAAGGATTTTTTAGAGTCGAGGGAAATTAAATAATTATTCGGTTGAACGGTTTCTTTGGAAATTCATGTTCATCCGATCTTTATGTTTTTACATGATTTAGTGGAACGTCGAATCAAAACGCGAGGGGAAAGGGGAATGGGAGTCGGTGAGATTTAAGATTGTGGAACAATCGAGGAATATTTTTATAATTTGAATGATTAATTTCGAATAATTCGGTGATTCGTGAGGGAAAATCCTGGAGCTTTTGCGTGGAATCAGTGAAATAATGACATTTTTCACTTGTGGAGAAAAAAAATCAATCGACAGAAAGATTATGTTAACGAACTAATATTAATTTATTCACTAATGCATAATAATTTTGGAATGGAATGAAATCAATTCGTTAGAAGGGGTCGATAATAGAAGAATCTAATCATTATTAAGTGATTAATAATCGTAGAAAATTTCGGAATTTTCTACACAAACTAGATTTCATATTTATTGTCTTTACCATCGATTAATTATTCCTTTTCTATTTACCATTACTTTTAACTAATGTAGAAAATCAAATCTATCTGTAATTTAAAATCTTGTTATAAATTGATAATATAAGAAATCTTCATCGATTAAACCACAAATGTAATAATTACCATTTAATTACTTTCCCCTCTCCAATTACTCCGTGCCTTAAATGAGTTAATTAATCGGAGGATTTTTCCAATTGATAGGTACAAATAAAAATGAAAATACAAAAGAACCATTTTAAAATTTTTTTTTGTTTATTCCTCAGAACATCATTTTCACAATTTTACACTTAAAATCAAATTTACTTCATATCGTTAATTGTACGGACAAGTTACACATGAAATATCAATTCTCAACGTCACATAGAACAACAAAACCTATTAATCTTAGGCAAGTTATGTTGTAATTTAAAAAAAAATATAGTTTATACCTCTTTTACTTTAATATTCAATCTTCAACTGGTACTCCATTAAAATCTACATTGAAATGAGATAATTGGAATTTTTCATCTCGATCAATTGGAATAACGCAAATAATCTAGCTTTTTCATTGAAAAAAAAAATCCTTTTCTTTCTATTTTTGAAAATTCACCCAACTCTAGATTTTCACTTCTATTTACACTCCTGTTTAATTTTCTCAATAAATTTATTGCGTTCTTGCCCGTACGCAATAAATATCTCACTTTAGTATATCCCTCACAGTACAATGTCTATTTTAAAATATTCCTATCAATATTACACATCCTCTCGATAATATAATTTTAAGGAAAAAACACAAAAATACTGCCTAGAGACAAAAAAATATTCGTCTCTACCATTGCCCCCCCCCCCCACATCCTTCCTCATGAATATACATTATTTACATCCCCGAAAAAAAAAATTGATTCACCCATTCAATGGAATAAATCGACTCCGCGATCGAACATAATTCTCCTAAATTTGATTTTCTCCGCGACTTTTCATTTTCTTCTTGTTCAATACAGGAATGGCAGAAAAAATTCCCAACTAATCGAGAAAGAAAAGAAATTTCATAATCGTTCCCCTCACAGGAACAATTCGTTGTAATTCATCTAGAACTCCATCGAACGGATTGAGGAGAATAAATCAGTGATTTCAGTAATCTCCGATATCCTATACATTGGCTCTGGTATTTTAAAAGGAGAAATAGTCTTGTGCTGAGGCAATATCTGGCGAGTTAATTGGAGATTGTGAATCACTTATCAATCATTGGGTGATTATTTTAACCGACTGGCACTTCTGTCATTAATGGATCTGCTCTCTTGAATAATCAAAACTGGCGAATGGCCATTAATTTTTATTTTCTCTTCCTCGAGTCTCTCATCATTTTTCACCGATGAATATTAAAAATAATTGTCTCACCCGACAATTATTGCAATTAATCGTGGAATTATCTGATTAAAAAAAAATCCTGAAGAGCAGTGCATCCGAAAAATCATGATAAAAATCTCCAAAAGCCGTTGATAATTTTCTAAAACTAGCCCTCAGCGAGGATTTCCCCAAGTAGCCTCCGGAGGCTATCGAGTCCAGTCAAAAATCCACAATCAGGTCCCTGATGAACTTTGCTGCCTCCTCCCCCCATATTATGACCAAAAGTGGTATGCGCAAAGTCAATGATCCTGACATCAACAGCAGGATCCTTCTGCATATCAACCTTGGCATCACCCTTGACCCTTGGCCTCTTGTTGGAACTCTTGAGGTCATCTTTGCTATCCTCATCCTCACAAAATCTCAATCTTCCCCGATTTCTGGTTCTCTTCAACGTGCACTTACCACCAATGTCCAAATCCGATGACAAGTCCTCAGAATTAGTGATAGTGTGCTGACCTACGCAGCAATACTCATCTCCAGATCCACTGGAGGAAGATGACGACGATGAGGATACATTCCCTGAAGTATTGCTGCTACCAGTGTTGCTGTAGGATCCAATCCAATTCTCGTACGTCTGCGAGGGAACGACTGTTGCATTGAGAAGATCGGATGGTGGATCCATGAAGACAGTCTCCTCGCTGATGGGATAAAATCCAGTGGCATGTTTAGCGCCTCTTGCCGCTGCCTCACCAAATGCTCGATGAAGTGTCGATGGATTGACATCTTCGTGCACCGAGTGATAATCATTTGACAATCGGAGCTGATTGTCCTCGAGGTACGAGTTTGAACTGTTTTGGTGATTATCCATGAAACTGTTTGACTCGTTGGACTCCTCTTCAACCCCCAGAGTTGTCAGAGGACTCCTCGAACGGGTTTTGTAATCGGACATCTGGTAGCCATCGTAGACGACCAGGAGGGAGCTGAAAGAAAATACAAGAGGCTCAGTATGTGAGACACCTGGGGAATGGATAATGATGGTTTTTGAGACTTGACCGTGATCATTGGGTGATGACAGGAGGCCCAAGCACCTTCAGCTGTCCCGGAGGCTGGGGAATATTACACATTTGGCCCTAGGTTCTTTATCCTTTTATTTTCTTTTTTTTTTCTTTGTAGAAATTCATGTGCTCAGTGCAAAACCAATGATTTTCATCGTCACAAAAATTTTCTGGACTACTGACATGAATTTCTTGGGTTAAATTCACGATTATTTATTAATTTGGAAATTAATTGAGTTTCGTCCAGTCGTTTTTTTTTGTTCATTTTGATTTCAAGTGTTTTTTTTATGAGATGAGTGCGAAGGGTGGGGATTACTCACCAGGAGTAGAAGCGATAGCTGCTCTGGCGTTCAATACCTCGGTGGAGGGCCTCCAGGCGAGCGATCACTCGCTGGATGACGGGGGTGCGAAGGCAGTAACCGTTATGGAAGAAACGATAAAGGGCATTCTTAAATCCCTCCTCATTCAACTCGCGACCCCAATATTTGTCGCGTTTCACGTACAGATCTGAGTCTGCCTGATAAACCTGATGAATAAAATTGATAAAAAAAAAATTTTCATTCTAATTGGTAGAGTATTTATGAAAATTCATATGAACAGTCAATATTTGCGCAATTATAAATAGTTAATGGACTCCTGGAGTGTCACATAATTAATTCTCAAGTTTCGAGTGATTTCGAATTTTTAGGCATGGTCATTAATAATTGTATTATTTTAATTGCCATGTTCTGGTAATTAATGGGTGGAATTTTTACCTGCATTCCACATAATCTGACACCTAATGACGCAGATGTGCTCGCTGCACACTTGGCAATCTGCTTACTACGTTTTTCCGCTGATGCGTCATCCCCGTGCTGCCTCGTACCCATCTTCAGATCCAGTATGCACGGGTGGGTATACCGTGATGTAATATTCTCAAGTAATAAAAAATCTGCGTTCAAAGAGTCAAGAAAATCCACAAGAATCGCTTGAAATTCATATCTCAGTTATTCATCTCGCGATTTTAATCCTCTGGCAAGAATATTTATGATAATTACAACAATTGCATTGACAATTTATTGTCAGGGGCAGATGAAAGAAAGGAATGAGAATGAATTGCTGGGGAAAATTCCGGGGATTTTATTTATGGAATTGATTGGAGATGTTTCGATGGATTATTTGTTTATCAATAATTGGTGGCGAAAGGATACATTGTTTATTCGATGCACTTGGCTCCAGATGATTTCCCGGCTTGAGCACGTCCGTCGTACTATTTTTTCTATGAATTTTCATCCTGAAAATTCACCAAGAATCCATTAATCATCGATACCACTGAAAAGTCCCCATAGAAAGAATTATTTACACTTAAAATTACAAATGAATTTTACATGTATCGTATTATATATTCGTCTGTTTATTTAAATAACTTTCAAACTTCATTATTTCATAATTACTTCAATAAATTTAAAATAAAAACTCTTGACTCCAGTCAATAAAAAAAATATCAATATCTCCAGTTGATAGAATAATTTTTCGATTGATTCATCATCAGAATAAAAAGAAAATCTAAAAAAAATATTGGTGTAAATAAAAAAAATACTGAATGATGAGGAAATGTTGAGTTGGAATGATTATTTATTTATCGTCGGTTAAACAGCAAAAATGCGTAATTTTAAACGACGGAGTGATTTAATGATGAATCAATGAATATTGAAATGATTTTGATAAAAATAGAGAAAAAAGGAAAAAGACGCGACATTTTGTTGATTATCTTCTCAGATTTATAAAATAATTTTTTTCATTTGTACCCAAGGGATATAAAGCGGCCGTTTTAATTGCCGGTAATCGCCATTGTCTTAGGATCATCACTCTGGCCACCACGAGAGCAACCGGTCGTGTGCGTGATAGCAGTCGTGCCGGTCGGTGGATAAAACATGTGCCCCTACTGCAAGTTGACGTTATTTTCCTATTTTTGTACAGGTTTTTCTTTTGCATTTGATTACAAAAAAAATTTGTTATAACCCGTAACACTGGGCTTGTAGCACGAATTAAAATTAATAATAAATTGGAGATTACTATTTTATCTCATTTTAACTGAAACAAATGGATCTCATGGGAGAAATTTTTTTTTGAATATTTATTTTTTACCTGAGTACATCGTCGCGTTTACGCTTTGAAGATGATTTTGCTGGTGTCTGGGGCTGATGGGTTGCATCGGCATCACGAAAACTCGGACTGTAACGTTTCTCTACCTCTCCACCACTACTTGACGCTGAGATTACACCTTAAAAATATTTATATATTATAAATATGAGTTGTGAATATTTTAGGATGGAACGAGAGATGTAAAATTGTGAGTACTGTAACAATTTTTATTTTTGGATTCAATTTTTGGAGGTGATTTCGAATTTTTTTCTTCCAACTCGGGAATTTTTCCGGAATTCTAATCGAATCCGTCGACCAATTCAATTTATCCAATTCTAATCAGACTGAGACGATAATTGGATTAATCTCCATTTTCTTCTCGTTAATTCGAACTTGAAATGCAGTAATTGTCACCATTCCGGGATTTTCTGAATTATTTTCAGAGAGGGGAATTAAAATGACTTCGCTGGGCAAACAATCATCAGATTATTTATAAATCGCGCTCTCTTTGTCTGGAAAGCTCTCTTTTCTCGACAAAGGAGTCGTAAAGATTTCAGTGGATGGAAATAATTAATTCGCTCTCGAGTTTCTTCTCTGAAAACTCGAGAATCCAATGGAAAATGGGGAACTGACAATTTCATCATTCGATGATTCAGGTAGGACGAAGACAATTATTTAATTCAGACTCATGACTCGTGGCTCGATGAACCATTTGAAATAATCTGAATTAACTCAATTGGAAAATAAAACTGGAAACGAAATTCCGAAAGATTAAATTTACATTTATTTAAAGACTCTGAGGACTATAAATTCATGGTTTAAATCGGAAATTAATATTTGGGAATCATTTTGGGGTGTTATTTTTTTATCGTTGATTATTTCTATTTGTTTACAAAAATCATGGAAGACCTAGACTGATAAATCCACCGGAGTAAAAATGAAAAATAAATTTACTCAGATGGGTATCTATTGCTGGTACGAGACGACGATAATCGCTTCTCAAACAAAATTGTCGCTGTAAAAATTACATCACTTGACACTTTAGACTCGAGAAAGATCTGATCTATAAATTCATTTCGTGAGAAATTTGTGGAGATAATTCCGAGAGTTTTCCAGAGTTTAAAAAATTATAAGAAATCCTCCAATTCTCGTGATTTTTATCGTGATTATGAATTCCGAATTTGCAATTGTAAAATCATTCGGTTCATTCGAAAAAAAACCTGCAACGTTTTTTGACAGCTTTTTTCGACGAACTAAGCTATGCATATCATATTATAATTTCCACTGGGAAATTTCCGAAAATTTCCGATGGTCATTTTCCCAGAATTCCCAAAATTCCCAGCCACCAGTACTGATTTGCCGGAAGTTGATAACAATCTTATCAGAATATTCTCGGTGAATTGCACAGCAGAATAAAAATATTCCTATCTTGAAAATAAAACGAATGGAAAAATGAGACGTGTCAGGTTTTTAATTAGATAAAATTAATTTATTGAGCTCTTTAACCGGTAAATGATTATCTCAAGGCTGAGTTTAGTCGATTGAGTATCGATTTCAGAAATCAATTCACTTCTGACACGAGCACTTCGATATTTTCAATGGATTGATATGTCATGATTTCGTTGCAATCGATTTTTTATTTCAATCATTCTCAATTCCAGCATTTGCGTCATCAACAGAATTGAAATATTTGTTAATTGATTTTTGAGAGTTTATTGTCAGAATTAATTGAAATTATTGAGTGAAAAATAGGGGAGAAAGAAATTGTGGATCGATATTGAAATCAGATGATTGAAAAAATATTTACCCTTGAACTTTGGAACAAACATTTGGATATCCTGGGGAATGTTTAGGTAAAAATCGAGCTCACGACGATTCAAAGGTTTGCAAATAGTGTTTTGATTGAGCAGCAGAAGTCTCGTGTGTCCTCCAACCTGGAATTCAAATTAAATAAATTTTAATTGCAATCAATGAATGAGAAATCGATAAACAAAGAAATCCTTTCACAACTGAAATAAATAATTCGATTTTTTCGCAATTTCTTGATATAAAATTGATATTCCACTGCAGAAATTCCCCGAAAAAAATTGATATCATCATTTTTATATTTAATAATGATGTCCAACAAATTATTTATCAACAAAATAGAAAAAATACTAATTTCAGAGGCAAAAGAAAATTTTTTTGTTGCATATTGAAATTGATATTGAATTTTTTGCTCTTCGTTGCGGTTGAAAAATCTCAAGACAACTGTTTTCATGAAAAACAATGGAAACAATGAAACATTTACGAGTCGATAAATTGTTGAAGCAATAATAAAAAGCCTTAAACTTGCCACGAGTGAAGGTCACGGATGTTTTATCCGTTGCACAGGGGAAGAATAAAAATTGCCCGCGTGATATTTAAACCGACAAATGCCAAGGATAAAACGCACATCGTAAAATAATTCTAACATTGAACTGTTACTTTGATAATATTTGCCTCCTTGAGCTCATGGTGTGACCCTCGGCAAATTTTATTAGCAAAATCACTCCATTTGCAATTGCAATAGCAACAATTCTCGTGACAAGCAATTAAAAAATTCCTGGAAAATTATTACAGAAAATGTTGAAGAAATCAATTGTTTATCCACGATAGATTGAAATTATACGGTTTTATTTATGAATTGTTGGTATTTGTTTATGTAAAATGGAGTTTCAATGGCTGTGGGAGACGTGCCAAAATGTAAAAGACCGAGAGGTCATTCATCTTGAATAAATAATCATTGGCAATGTCATTTATTTATGGACAATTGAATTAATGATGGATATTCATGACTTCAAAAAAATCCACAAAAGACCTGAATCCAGTTCTCTCTCATTTCATTACGAAATTCTGAAATTAATTAACAAAAATGAACAGAATGTGCACTAATCTTCCCATTTTTTACTGCTCCATAATCCAGGGGAATAAACAATTATTTTTCATCGTTGTTGGTGCAATCGAATGATGGAATCAGGTAAATAAATAATGAGGAAAAGACATGCGCATCGATTTTTGCCGAATGGTTTATGAAAAAAGGATGAAAATAGACATTGTCTTGTTATCTTTAACTGCACTGAAACCGCGATAAGAAATTCGCCATTATTGAGCACAAAATGACGCCAGTTTCGAGGGAATTACTGTTTATTGCAACGAAATGATCGCTAGTTATCATTTTAAAAATGTGTCACTCGCATCTTCAGTCGATGGTTTTACGTTGTAAATTGGATAATTGCCCCATAAAACTGGAGCTCAGTAATAAAACAATCATTTAATTCTCTAATGTCAATAATTTTATTTGTCAATGGCATTAAAATCCCATTCGTCTAATTATTTTTATACATTTGCTTTTAAAATGAATTCTTAAACTTTCACTTCAAATGGATTTCCACGAGAATTCAGAATAATTTCACTATTAAATAATAATAATAATAATAATCATTATTTTTATGGGCAGAAGGGAAAATGATTGTTTATAAATGTTGAATTCGTAATTGTTGAATAAAATCTGAACGAAATGTAAAAAATCCTGTGAGTGAATGAGAGAGATTTTTTTTTAATGAATATTAATGTTTTACGAATATTTTTCCGGACAAATTCATAATTACGCAAATATTGTGTTTGGAATATCCAATTAATGGAGTGTGTAAACAAGTAAATCCCTTTGAATTGAAGACAAACAAAAACATTGAGAAAAAACAGTGTCCATTGACAGTTGCGTAAACACTTTCTGTCATGACGTTGTGAATAACGTGACGTGGATTTTTCTTTTTCTCTCACACCCACTATAAAATACCCAACCCTTGAGCGCCATTGAACCACAAGTGAGAGAAACAATCGATAGGAGAACTAAAAATATGAGACCAAGGATGAATAAATTGTACAGATTGAGGATAAACGGTGAAACCTTGAGGCGGTGAAATGCAGAACATTTTCATCGTGTGAGAGAGAAAAAAAATTCATATCGCCTCGGACATTTTGTCGACTCCACTGGAGACATTCAGAAGAAAATTGTTGAAAAGAATTGACAATTTAATAAGGGACAACGGATAAACATTCAGTCGTAAAAATCATTTGAGTCTGGAGGGAAATGGAAAAAGGGAAAAATTTTTATTCTCTGAATATCTTGGAATCTGATGAAAATATCGAAATTGTCATCGGATACTTTTCTGTAGAGTCCAATGAGAACTACAAAAAAGGTAATTACGATAATTTCACCATCTCTATTAGATTCGGAGATATTTCTCGGTAATTCGTGTGAATTGCATAGATTATAAGAATAAGAAAATGTAATATAAACAAATTTTTATTATAAACAAACCGCCAAAAGAGAGATTTGATTAGAAGATCCTTAAGAGAATAAATGGATACAATAATTGTATTAACAGAGACCGTATAAATAAATAATGTACATTTTCTATTTTGAATGAAAAAAAAAAACTTTCCCAGCTCGAAAATTGTTACAACAATCCAAGAATTTATAAAAACACAAAAAATGAGAATTCACTGGGGCACAGGTGTACAAAGTTAATTAATAAATCAAAACAATAAATAATTCCCAAAAATGGCGAATAAGGTAAATAAACCTTGTGATATGTAGAGTGAATGAATAAAAATATTGATGTCAAATTGAGGAAAGACCTGATTATTGAGTGGATGCAGAGCAACTTCTTCATCATGATCCTGAAGAAATCCAACATTTGAGGTTGAAGATGTGGAAGAGACTGGTGTATTGGAACTGAGACACTGTGGATCAGTCTCTCCCATACCCCAAGAGGCCCTCAGGTATACCATACCCAGTGTTCCACTCAGAAAAACTCAAACTTATCCCCTCAAAAACCCCTCAAATCCCTCGAAAATTCACCCTAAATCTTGAAATCTTTGTTCTCACTCAACCACGAACGAGTGAAAGTCCCCAAATAAATTACCACTGCACTGCCACTGGTCACTTATTACACCATGAATAAGCGAATAAATCGTTCAATTGGGGTAAAAAAAAATTATGGAAATGGGTGAATATCGATGTTCACCATTCACTGGTGACGTTTTTCGTTGTTTCACCACTTTAATACTGTACTTCACTGACAATACTGAGGATAATATGATGGGGAAGTACTGGGTACTGCAATGTCTCTGTATGGGTTATCGCATCAGCTGAGAGATGGAGGGGAAGGAGTGACTTTTTTTTTGGTACAGTGTGTGTGTGAACTTATGTATGAGGGACGCGTTGGCCTCCACTTTGTGGAGTTGGGTGAGGAATTCTTTGTGTGGGCTGAATGGTCGATGATGATTGGAGAAATTCATTGTGTGGGTTAAATGGCCGGTGCTGATTGGAGGAATTCTTCTGTGACTCTAGGGAATTCTTCGAGAGTATGTGGGGTATTTATTTAAAGAAAGCAAATTTTCGATATTTTTCTGGATTCCAGAAAATTTTAGTTGTCACTTCCAGTTGAATAAAATATCGAAAATATTGGAATTCTGGGGGAATTCCGATTTTTTGGAATTCGGGAATTTTTACATCGGGTAAAGCAGAGCAGATCGTCCGACTTTTTTATCGGCAGATTGGGCAGTAGTTCAGAACCTTCATTCGTGTCAATCTGTCAAAATTAGATCTACTTTTCACTGTTTTTTGAAAATCCGAGGATTTCCTGAGATTTTGAAATGGCAGACTCTAAATATGCGGATCTTCCTGGAATTGTGAGTGAATAATCTAATTACTTTTCGAGGAATTCATCGGGTTTTTGGGAGTTAGGCAACACCTCTGTGTGGATTATCCTCAATTGATTCCTTATTTTCTGAAAAACTTTTTGCTTCAGGCTTATAATCAAGTAGATGTTTATGAGACCACGGATTTACCAGAGAGCGACCAATTTTCTACGTACAGTGAGGTAAAATATTTGTAATGAGTCATGAGAAAAAATCGATTTATTTCGGATCCTTGGTTTCTCGGTGTATTTGACATTTTGAGGTTTTTAAAATTTTTATAAATTTTACTCCTGCTTTTCAAGGATGAGTCTGAAGCAATCGAAAAACTTCACATCAACGCGACCGAGGCCTTTGGAAAATTCAAAGGAAAGCATGTCGTCACCACCGGAGTGGATTTCTCTGACAGAATTTCCATAAGAAATAGAACTGGGTAAAACTCCGAAATCATTTCGATAATGAAATATTCGAATGGAAATGATCATCAATATATTTACACTCCACCATTTCAATTGATTCTCAAGAAATTTTATAATTATAGTTGACGAATTAATTAATTTTTTAATAACAAAATTCATTCCAGCTTTGGGGTGTGGGAATTGCCAGGAGATGGGGAGAAAGAGACTCCGATGCATAAATATCAGAGACTCCAGTGCGAAATAAAAGAATTGTACGATGAAGTCAGTCAGATAAAGGTGAATAATAAATGGAATTTTTCACTAGCAATCAATATTCTTCAATTCTCAAATGGAGCCTTGGATAATTCCAGGAGAAGGCACAGCAGAAAGAGGAGGAGAGAAATGCAGCTGATATTTTGTCTCACGTAGAGGAAGCTGGAAAGCAGCTCAACAGTTTGAAACTCTACGACTGCCTTGGAGCTGATCTCGTGACGACCTTGATGGACCCCCAGGGTGGAAGGCTCAAGTAATTCCAAAAAATTCAAAATCAAATCAAATAAATGAATAATAATTGGCCAATTTATTAATTTTTTTATTGTAATAATCATTAGACAATTGGAGACACAGATAGAGCAGTTTAAATCAGCTGGCATCCCCGATAAGGAGAGAACAGGTGCTCCAGGAGAAGCTGACGGTGCAAAAGGAGTTTTGAAATACGAAATGATGTATCTGCCTGAGAAGGCCAGGATGCAGGAAGTCGCGAGAGTCTCCAATCTCGAGCAACGATTGGCTAAATTGGAGAGTGTCATTGGTACCAGTGATGATAAACTCTCGAAATTCACTCAGGTATTTTTTTGAATTTCGATAACTGGAATTTTGGTGAGATTTAATTTTTCGGTTATGATTTTTGTAGAATTTCAAGTCTCAGGGAATTGCTGAGTCAGTTCAGAAACTGGCAGCCAAGTCCTCCCTCCTGGACAGCAGCCAGATTGAAGCCATGGAGAACAGAATATCAGTACTTGCTCACAGAATGGATGCTGTGGCCCAGAAGAAGTCAGCAATATCTCCAGAGGCTGATCGTGACCAGAAGATCAGCGAGATGTACGAAATCGT